GGAAACAAGGGAGAGAATTGAATAACAGCAGATGAGGTAGAGAGGGAAGATGGGTGGGAAGGGGAGGGGGGATAGTAGGGGATAGGAAAGGTAGCAGAATACAACAGTCACTAATATGCCATTATGTAAAAATGTGAGTGTGTAACCGATGTGATTCTGCAATTGGTATTTGGGGTAAAAATGGGAGTTCATAACCCAATTGAATCAATGTATGAAAGATGATATATCATGAGCTTTATAATGTTTTGAACAACCAATTAAAAAAATAAAAAAATAAAGCTAATGAAAAAGAAAAAAAGAAATGATAAGATTAAGGGTTTAGGAAGAACCGTGTAAATATTAATAACAGGGGGATAGAAAAATCTCAAGCAGCCAGTGCAGGAGATTGATTGAAAAGGGATAGAAGGAAGAGAATGAAGTTCCCTGGTGTTTGGTGATCTTCACCCCTTTGTACTTTATTACCCACTACTATTAATGGTCTTTCTTAATTTTGAAAGTTTCTATCTTATATGCTCTTATTGTTTTTGTTTATTTTAGTTGGAGAGTGTGATGTTGGTGAACATAAAACCCCCAATCCCACCTATAAGTCCTAGATTTGGGGAAATCCGAAATATTTCTTTACTGGTTACTCCAGCCATTGCTAATGGAGAAATTGGCTTCATTAGTAATTTTCCAATCATTTTGCATGAACCAGAAGATTCTGCTGCTGAGGTGGTAAGTGGGCTCTTTCTTATTGGTGGGGTCTAATGTGTTTGAGGTAATTTATAGAATATTTTTTTAAAATTAGTGTTAGCATATTGAGTTAATAGATCTTGAAAATGAAATAGATCTTCATTCCTTTGATAGACAACTTGACATAAGTAACTGATAAGTTACATAAGTAACTGATAGTGTGTGATTTCTCATTAACTGGAATTATTTGCTCCTGGTTAGACTAGTATATTTAGATTTGATTGCTTTCAGATAGAGCCATGATATTTGACGTAATCATAGCTGAGTGTAAATCTGCTTTTTAATGGCCAAGTTGCCCTTTTCCATCACTGAGCATGCCACTTGCTTGCCTTGGGTAAGGCTGAAGTGGCAGCCTTGGGTCCTGTGTTTGATACTGGAGATGATGATGGTAAAGTTGTGAAATCTGAAACTTAGGGATTTTTAATTCCATGTGTATATGTAAATTTTCACACACACACACACACACACACACACACACACACACACACACACAAAGCATATTCACATACAGAGCACCTCTTCACCATCCCTAGTTGAATTTTTTCAAGCCTCCAGCAATCTCAGGGCAGCTCTGTCCTGTGCTGCCATTCCCAGAGCTATTATCTGTCTAAGATCCTAAACGCCCCCCCACCACACACACTTAAATTTGATTTTAATTGGGTTAAGGTTAAGATCAGGAATGAGGAAAGTTGTTTTTGTTATCAAAATCTCATGTCAAAATGTGGTGACATTTCCTTTGTTTATACATTAGATGCTCTAAATGGCCAGAGAGCTTCAGTTTTCAAGATGGTTTGATTTTCCATATTTTAAAAACATACTGTTTACTTCTAAAAAGTAAAAAGCATTTAGTTTATTCTTAAAGAGTGAAATTGCTTTTGTTTGTCTATTTTATAAAGCTGTAAACTTCCCATTTCAACGTTTTTCCACTGAGAGAAGTCAGTTTTGGGCTCTGGGAACTGCATTCTTACCCTCTTAGGAGACAGCAGAAGTAGCAGTTTCCCTTTTGCTGTGCCCTGTATACAACCCCAGCAATACTCACTCCCTCAGGTGATACAGGAGCCAGCCCTGGTACCTTTTTTGCTTTCCTCAGAACCCAGCTGTGCTCACTAGCTTTGGGTTTTGACCATTGCTAGTCAAAATAGTAGAATGGTTAGTGGTGAAGGTATTTTTTTCCCCCTAAGATGAGATATATTAAAAGGCAAGAAAAAACTATAATAGCTCTCTTAGGAGTGTAAAAAGAATAGCATAGTTACCATGGAGTATTAATTCTTTGAAAAGGCTTCATCATGATCTGCAGTGAATCTTATTATATGTTTAAAATGTAATGCATTTGAACAAAATAGAATTTGTTTTAGAATTATTATAATAGCATTCAATTATGTAGCTTCTACTAGTGTTCTAGATTGCTTAAATGATATCTCTGCTTTACCAAAAGCTTGCAAAAATTGAGACTCATTAGCTTCATTTAAAATGAGGAAATCGAGATCATAAACCTTGCCCCAAATAAAAAGGAGTCGTGATATTTTTATGGTATTTATTGTATTGGTTAGAAACATTTTATTTTGTTTTGTTCCCTATTACTTTAAGATGCATTTTACACAACATAGTTCCCCAGTTTTTTTTCTTTTCTTTTCTTTTTTTTTGTATCAGGGATTAAGTGCAGGGATGCTTAAGCACTGAGCCAATCCCCAGCCCTTTTTATATTTTATTTAGAGACAGGGTTGCTTAGGGCCTTGCTAGGTTGCTGAGGCTGGCTTTGAACTCATGGTCCTCCTGCCTAAGCCTTGGGAGCCACTGGGATTGCAGGTGTGTGCCACTGTGCCCAAGTAAATTTCCTTGTTTTAATCACAAAAGTTTATTTTTCTGTTTATATTTTGATATTCATAAAACCTCTGATGAAAATTTATTCTTCAGCAAGACTGTTCTATGTTTGTCATGATTCTTCAGCTTTTAAAATATTTGTCTTTTCATTTAAATAAATACCAGGTCAGATACATTTTTGGGCAGGGGCAATTTTCCAGATAAATTTGATTAGCAAAATTGAAGAAAATCCCCCCAAATTATTATCATGCTTAAAAAGAAGACTTCTTCAATTATTTTTAATGTCACTAATACACATTCACCTAATAATACATGCATCTGCAGACTTGATTTGATTTGTGAGCATATATTATAGCAGAAATTGTTGTTTTGTTTTTTTTCCTAAATAAGATATTCATTCCCTTGCATCGGGATGGAACTGATGGCCAGGCCACCGTCTATTGGAGTTTGAAGCCCTCTGGCTTTAATTCAGAAGCAGTGACCATGGATGATATAGGTCCCTTTAATGGTTCTGTTGTATTTTTATCTGGGCAAAGTGACACAACAATCAACATTACTGTCAAGGGTGATGACATACCGGAAATGAATGAAACTGTAACACTTTCTCTAGACAGGTAATAACCCATTGAGATAACTTTTTTCTCTTCATGAAGAAAAAAAAATCAAGTGAATTGCATTATGTTGGCCTTTAGTCTGTTACTTTTTTATAGCTTCTGGTTAGACTATGGATATATTTTAGTGAACTTTTACTCTGCTATTTGTTGTGAGGAAGAATTATGTAGAGAATGTCTGGGAAGTAGTATATGAAATTTGAAGTAAGCCAATATATTGCTATTTAAAAAAAAAAGAATAGACTACAACATCTCTAAAATGTTAGGTTAAGCAGATAACTCTGGTGGCTTCCTTTCCAACAGGGAAGTGGGGTATAGCTTTTTTGAGTGAGTAAAAGAAAACATTAATCTTCATTCTTTTTTACATGGAATCTAAAAGTTAAGACTTATTTTCTAGAGAATTAAAAATTACACAAATTTAAGAGGTAATTTTCCAGTCATTATCATAAGTTACTTAGCATTTCTCAGGGGGCACTTTATATTAAGAAAATATTACAAAAAAAATCTAAGAATTTTTCTTTTAGTTATTTAGAAAATCTTTTCTAAAATTGAAAAGATACAGTGTTTAATTGATGTTAATGATTTTTAACGATCAAAACTAAGTTTCTCTTCTATAAGTCTCTTTATATCAATGAGATAGATTATAGAAAGTTACCATGGCTTGAGGACATTGTACAATTCGTATTTAGAAACACTAAAATTCATAGGTAAATTTGAGACATTTTGTATGATATTCTTCAGGAATAAAGAAGTAAAAAACTACTTTGCATAATCCTTTGATTTTTTTTCAATTTTATTATCAAGACCATGTAGATTTTTCTTTGAAGATGTTTTGTCTAAACACATTTTACCTACCTGATAAGTATTTTTTAAAAGTTTTTTGTGAAAGAAAAACAAATCTGTGGAATGGCCACTGTTCATTTTGTTTGCTTTCAGAACCACAAAAAGTAAAACAACAAAAAAACCCGAGAAAGCAAAACCCAAACACACACACACACACACACACACACACACACACACACACACACACACACTGTTTTAGTCAGCTTTTTCACTGCTATGACTAAAATACCCAAATAGAACAATTTTAGAGGAGGAAAAGTTTGATTGGAGGCTCACAGTTTCTGAGGTCTCAATTCAGAGACAGCAGGCTCCATTCCTAGGGGCTCAAGGTGAAGCAGAACCTCATGTCGGAAGAGAGTAGTGGAGGGAAGTGGCTCAGGCGATGATCAGCAAGCAGAGAGAGAGTTCACTCTCCATATTTAAAATATATACCCCATAGCCTTGCCCCCAATGAATTTCTTCCTCCAGCCACACCCTACCTGCTTCTAGTTACTACTCAGTTAATCCTATCAGGGATTAATTTGCTGATTATGTTAAGGCTATAACCCAATCATGTCTCCTCCAAACCTTCTTGCATTGTTTCACATGTGAGGTTTTGGGGGGACATGTCACATATAAACCATAATACACACATACACACTGAGTTTAAGTGAACACACACATATACTGAATCTAAATAATACAGGCTTAATATATTTTTTTATATTAAGTATTAAAAGATATTTCATGATGAAAAAAAGTCAGTGAAATATGAGAAAATACAGGACTTTGTTCATGTATCCCCCTTTTTCTATAAATTAGGTTTAAGCATGTATTAAATCTGTGGACAATGTTGAAGAAAACTAACGAAAAAAGAACAGTGATTACAAACCAAAGTTATAGCAATCTAGGAAACTTTGTTAGCTTGTTTGAGAATTCCTGCTTGCAATTAAGTATTTAAAGAATGATTTAAATTATAACTCTGAAAATTCATAGTGACTATTCTTTATATTCTTTCAAAATAGTAATGTTTGGTCATTCATTCATTTAAACATTTGTAATTCATTAAATATAACTTTGAAGTTGTTTTACTTTTTTTTTCTTTTTCTTTTTTTTGCTTTTGCTTCTATTTCTCCCTTCTATGGGTAAAAATAGAATACAAAGAAGTGAAAATCATAGGGTAGAAAATATTAGAAATTGTTGGTTCTTTTCAAATAGAGAAAATTAATCAAAATATATGTTAAAATGTCTTGATTCAATTAGTTACTAGTGTGTGATAAGAATAAGCAAATTACATTTGACTGTTCAAAAAATATTTAAATAAATTTGAGAATAAAATTAATGATTTCAAAGTGCTTATTTTATCAAAACCTTTTAATTTTACGTGTTTAACAAAAATGAATGGATGAATGAATGCTAGTATGATTATAATGAGTCATAGGATAATATTGCAACAAAAATAATAACACTTTATTATAATACAGTGTAAAATATTCTCTTAATGTCAAGTTCAAATTCTTTGTATTTCAATTAAATGTAGACTGAAGTTGCCCTGATACTAAACAATTTATGGTACTTCCAATACCAGTTAGTTAAAAATACACTTAATTTTCTCCAAATTAGAAACAATTTTATTATGCCGTTTTACTTCAGAGGATTTTACATTATGTGGTAATTTATCAGTGGCGCATTTGACTTTAAAAATTCAGCTCAAAGCCTTTACTTTTTAACGTGTGCTTTTCAAGACTATTTTAAAATAAAACACACTGAGGATTTGAAAGTGTTTAGATTTCCTGATATAAAGTTGTAATGAAAAGTTATCATGATATCTTAGGGCTTCTTGAATATATTCCTGTGCAAACAGGGAAACATAGAGATTGCTTATAGAGTTGTGACTTCTCAAACTTGAAGAACTGGCATTACATCTGAGGATGGAGTTTCTTTAAAAAACATAATTAAAGCTACTAAGTAATTGTTAGTAGACTGAATGAGATTTGCTCAGCTGCTGTGGTTTGAGCATGTGCAGAGCTTGCCAGGCACAAGCACCCTGGAGAGGTGGGAAGGAATGTCTTGAATGGGTCTTGCCATGCTGGCTGGCCACGGGTCATCTTCCAATAGGCGGGAACTGCAGAACCTCTTTCTGGCATTTCTCAATGGATAGGACCCAGTGTGCACCATTTCCATAAAATGAAAATTAGTAGCTCTTGGGGAAAAGAAAAGGGCTTTCTTTCAGCTTTTTTTTTTCACTCTGCCATTCTAAGTTTCTAGCAGTATCAGTGAATTGTGGGAAATAGTGCCTCTGCCTCCTTTTACCCCCGCCCACAGTTCTTTCTGTATTGACAGGGTAGAAACTGAAAGATTTGTCGTGTATTTTGGGTAAGTATACAAAATAATGCCTTGTTTTTGGTGATTCACCATTTTATTTTGCAACTGACTGTTTGGTGATGAGGCTGCACTGCATGATCACAAGTCTTGAGAAATTGTGCTTATCCACCTGGCTGTGCATGATTTGTGTGTAGTTTCATTTTCTAATGATAACAGGAGACTATTATGTGAAACTTTTGGGATGTTTTCATCCCAGTAGTTTCAAATTATGAATGCATTTACAATTTTTTGATAAAATCTTTGAGAAACAATTTTATTATGCCGTTTTACTTCAGAAGATTTTAAATTATGTGGTAATTTATCACATTTTGAAGAACTCATAATTTTAAGTTTTCATAACCTAGAGAACAATTATTGTGCTTTTAGTGGTGAAATTTTTTTCCCAACGTCTTTTATGAATCTTAAAGTTTGTCTTACAGAGAATTGGCAACCCATTATCTCAACTCATCCATTATTTTTCTTAGTGTATCTAAGCAATGTCTTGCTTTTTCCTCTGTGTTTTATAGAGAGGTTTTCAAATTTGCTTTTTATGTAAGGGAAGCATATCTTAAGAACATTAAAAAAAATAAAGTAAATTCATTTGTTTTATGCTCAGAGGATTTTTTTTTTAATTTTGAGATAGAGTCTCAAAAAATCAGTTGCTTAGGGTCTCACTAAGTTGGTGAGGCTGGCCTTGAACTTTGATTCTCCTCAGCCTCTGAAGTTGCTGTGATTATAGGCATGTATTACTGTACCTGGTTCTGAGTAGACTTTTATACTTTAATCCACTTTTCTTGTCTCCTAGCTTATGTGGACACAGGAAATTTTGATTAGTGAAGATATTGATATAAATTAAATATGGGCAAATTTGCTCTGAAAATTATGTTACTCTATTAACAATATAATAAATAATTGTTGTATTATTTGAATAATCTCTTCTGTTAACACATGCATGCTAGGTATCAGTTGTCAGATTTCAAAAGCAAGAGAAGATGTCAGTTCATGTTGTCTATTCATAGAGTGAACTGTTCTTGACACATATTTCTACATATTAAATTGTGGTTTCATTGTGATTCTGAGATTTTATCCAAATACTTCTAGTTCAATAGGAAGTGACATTTGGAAAAATTTAGAGCAGCTTTCAGGATTGAGAATTCTTAAGACCTTGCTGGTTTTATGCCCTCAGAGCCTTGTAGTCTCTTTGATCATTCTAATTACACACTAAGCATAAAACCAGAAATTTAAAATAACATTTAATATATTCTTTTGATAAATATATAAGAATTGTTATAACATGTCATGCTTCTCAGATCCATTTTCTTCTTTCTTTAAAAGAAAAAAAATTGAAAGCCACAAAACTATCCCCAAAAGTCTAATCATATTACATTCATTTTTTTAAAAAAATCAGTGTGGCTTGCCATAGTCCGTGTAGTTATCCAACTTGTACATAATATAATTATATGTAATGAAATTTTAGAAGAAATTCAAATGTATGTAAAATAAAAAGTTTTATTTAAAGGTATTTTCTAAACACATGTTGCAAATAATTTTTTTTTCTAAAACTAGAACAAAATCTGTAAATTTTTATATTTTCTATAAATACATTTATAACTCTTTGTTACTATGTTCTTGAGGTACATATGCCAGGTTTGTTTTAGTCAAAAAGGAAAGATGCAGTGAATTCAGAATAGATCTTCCATAAGTGTTGTGGCTAAAGCTGTTTTGGTTTTAAGTGATTTTAATGTGTATAAATTTTCTTTGAGATTTAATTCCTAATTACCTTTCTTATTATTATCTGGAAGAGTTGTAAATATTGCCTTTGAAGTCTACCAAATTCAGAAGTAGACTAAAGATAACAAGTATGTTTTCCCCTCCACCTTCTCCAGGGTAAATGTGGAAAATCAAGTGTTGAAATCTGGATATACTACCCGCGACCTAGTTATTTTGGAAAATGATGATCCTGGGGGAGTTTTTGAATTTTCTCCTGCTTCCAGAGGACCCTATGTTATAAAAGTAAGTATGAAACTTTATTCTGTACTCACAACTTAAGAAGAATGATCTAGAAGGTTTTAAAATCTTGTGGATTCTTTTTAAAGGAAGGGGATTCTGTAGAGCTCCACATTATTCGATCCAGGGGGGCTCTCGTCAAACAATTTCTACATTACCGAGTAGAGCCCAGAGACAGCAGTGAATTCTATGGAAACACAGGTGTTCTGGAATTTAAACCTGGGGAAAGAGAAATAGTAATCACCTTGCTGTCAAGACTGGATGGCATACCAGAGGTAGGGGTTTTGTTTTTCCCTTGCGCTTTTGTGGAAGATTGATTGTATCTATCATGTTATGAGCACAAATATTTTAAACATTGTCAAGAAGATATAAGAAGGGATGAGAAATACTTATGTTTGGAAAATTCAAAAAACAATCTCAAAAAGCAAAGTAAGATTCATTCAAATTAGAATGATGTATTTTGTCCTTGAAAGAGAAATACCAAACAAACCAAACATTCTGAGACTTTCAGTGTGTGATCCATTTTTATCTCCTTTTAGCTTTATTCATGTTAAACCTTATTTTATGTGATTCATATTAACTGAACTTTTAATGATATGGTTTTGAACTGAAATTTTGCTATATAATCACTTTTTAAAGGAAAAAAATTAACTTTTGAATTAGTGAAACCAGATATTGTACCCTAATGTTTACACACTAATGCATATGTAGATTTTATATTTGTTACTCTTATTAGTTTGACTACTAGATCATCGGTGACAAGTCCCTGACTTCTTACCATTTAGAGTAGATTGTTGTTTATCTTTTCCCCTTTTGGATAATATATATGTATATCTGGCATCTCTTAACTGATAGGAGAACATGCTAAATATGTTTTAGGAGTAAAACTGGCTCTCTTGTCTTTTCAGTGAGTTGTATGTATCTTAAAATGTGAATATATTAATATTCTTGAATATACACATATTTTATTTGCTCTGAAATGTCAACTTTACATTTTTACTAATTTGACATGTTCCATTTAGTTGGATGAGCACTACTGGGTGGTCCTCAGCAGCCACGGTGAAAGGGAAAGCAAGTTGGGAAGTGCTTCCGTTGTCAACATAACGATTCTAAAAAATGATGATCCTCACGGGATTATAGAGTTTGTTTCTGATGGTCTAATTGAGACAATAAATGAAAGCAAAGCAGATAATATCTACAGTGGTAATTTTTCCTGTTTCTTACATTTTGTTTCTATTTATGGAAGAGGAAATTAATTATTTTTTAGTTTATTTCTTCAGTAACCCATTATTTTCAGTTGCTCATTCTGCTTTAGAAATTACACATAGAATAGAAATTGGTCCTTTTAAAAATAATATTTAGGATTGCAATTTTTATGTCTGTCTTAGCATTGTGATGATACATCAGTTATATTTTTATTTCAATTAACCATATGCAGAGCCCTCAAGCACCCAGGCATGAGTCAATAGAGAACACATTAAAGCTAGGAGTTACTGCTGGAAAATATTGCAGTGGCAGGAAGTAAGAAATATTCCATCTATCTGTCTATTTATTTTTGTGGTTCTGGAGATTGAACCCAAGGCCTCCTGTGTGCTAGGCAAGCACTTCACCCTTGAGCTACATTCCCATACATACATATATATTACCTGAATTCTTAAATGGATATATATATATATATATATATATATATATATATATATATAGTAGATGGACACAATATTCTCATTTCATTTATTGGTATGTGGTGCTGAGGATTGAACCAGTGCCTCGCACATGCTAGGCAAGTCCTGTACCACTGAGCCACAACCCCAGTACTCCCAGCTAGTTTTAAATTTTATTTTGAGACAAGGTCTTGCTGAGTTGCTGAGGCTGGTCTTGAACTTGCTATCCTCCTGCATCAGCCTCCCGAGTCACTGAGATTACAGGTGTGCACCACTGCATTCATTGAGAAAGATATTGTTTTTAAAGAAATCTTGTCAGAGCAGGGAAATCACTCTGAGTAGGTAGGTCAGTCTTCCTTTGAATGCCTTTGGCAGATATTCTTACAGGACTTTATGATAGTTGTATCTAATTAATCACCCTCTGTCTCCATGCCAAATGACTCTTAAGATCCCATACTATGATGGAAAATATTGAGTCTTGTAATTTTATTAATTTTATATCTACAGAGGGGAAATAGGATAATATATTTTTATGTGAACCTTGGGGGATATGCTAAGCAAATTGGCTTTTATTAAATTAGATTTTATTAAAACAAAGTATTATTTTTACTTTATTGGAATGATTTCTTTACTAGTTTTAATGTTTAGTGAATGTTCATATGTAGTTTACCTGTTTGTATTTCACAGCTGTTTATGGCGTAATAAGACATCGAGGAAACTTTGGTGATGTTAGTGTTTCATGGGTGGTTAGTCCAGACTTTACACAAGACGTAATTCCTGTGCAAGGGACAATTTTCTTTGGAGATAAGGAATTTTCAAAAAATATCACCCTTTATTCCCTTCCAGACGAGGTAAATGTTGCATGTATAATTCTCCACTTATTGTAGTTGATCAATCTCTACTTTTCATTAAAGCCAAAACATCTGATAATACATGTATATAAAGAGCTCAGGTAAGACAGTGTCTGACTGAGGCAAAAGGGCAATGTTATGCTTCTGGTTTCTCTGAGTCATTCTTTACTCTTAGACTGATAGTGATTGGTGAAATTCATGTGTCAAACTTCAGGGATTTGTGGTTTTGGGAGAGGTTAAGCTTCAGCTTGTGTTTAGACTCCTTGGAGAAAGGCCATGTTCTGGGTACCCTGGTGCATTCTGAGAATCAGGACACTGTGCCAAGGGATTGTGCATCCAACAAGCTATTTCATCTTATTGATAAAAACCAGAAAGAACTTAGTGATGGAGAGTAAGCCTTCCTCAGGATTCTGCATTTTATTTCTGAAGGCCTGTCTGTTTTCCCACAGACCAGCAATTTTGTATTTTAGGGTGAGGAGAGGCATAGCTCATAGGAATGATGTAAGAGAGAAACAGTGCCTACCTGGGATTCACTTAAGCTCAGATGTGGATATCTCATCTTTTTAGGACATTGAAGTAAGGTCTCTATGACTGGCTTGTGTGAAAGTTCAGTAAACCATGTAAGAGGCCTTTGAGTGCTCATTTTGTTGTGTTCCATTATTTTCTTATAAGCAAAAAATGTGTTTACCATTTTCTTACAGAAATAATATATACGACACACACACACACACACACATATATATATCCTATACTTATATAGGATATATGTATGTACGTATAGATACATAAATAAATATATCCTATATCTATATAGAGTTGTAGAATATGGTATAGGTTATATCTATTTTTATCTATATAGGTTATATCTATTTTTAGTTTATGTAAGACAAAATATGTATACTTCCATTACACTTTAAAGTAAAGTGCTTGTTTGGATGAATATAAATTAAAATAATTGGGGGGGGGAGTTCTGAGTCTTATAGAAATACTTTCATAAGCTTCAGCCTCAGAAATAGAAGTAAAGATTAGTACTGTTAATAGAACTTTTTTTTAAAAAAGAAATAATAATTTAGGAATACATAATGTAATTATATGCATAAATCAGTTGATTTAAAATGGATATCATTTTCCAAAAGATTCCAGAGGAAATGGAGGAATTTACCATTATCCTACTTAATGCCACTGGAGGAGCTAAAGTGGGAAATAAAACAACTGCAACTCTACGGATTAGAAGAAATGATGATCCCATTTATTTTGCAGGTGGTATTGCTATTTTTATTTGAATGAGTTTGCTTCTTTCTTAAACAGTGTATATCTAAAATTAATTTTAACTGAGCATTTTAAATAAAATGTAATTAATTGATGCTTGCATATGATTTCATGATTCATTCACTGTTATTCAGTCTGTTTGAAGTTTAAACCATTTTTCAAAATATCTTCTGAAGCAAAATGAAAGTAACATTAAGTGCTTTTTTGTTATCTCTGTTTCTTCCTTTTAAATGCCAAGGTATATCTTTCCTCTGTGAGAAAAACACTTCCATGTGATTACTTCTAATACAGAGGTTGGCCACTTTGGGACCTGATATTGTACCTAGTGACTGACCACTTAACTATAGTAGCTAATGTTTAATGGATATATTAGTTAAGGATTCTTTATTTACTGCTTTTTTTTTTAGAACTCACTTTTGCTATATGAGGCATCTTTTATTGATGAGATTTAATTGATGTCTAATTCTTTCTTAAATCCCACTTTTCTAAGTTGTATAAAGGTCAGTTTACTGAACCTCTTGAATTTCTGGATTACAATTCTTAGCCTCCAGTGAATTTGTGCTTATTAATTAGTCTTATACTCAGGCTTCTGCCAAGTGTTGCAGCAAAAATAAAACAAGCTATCCAGGCCTATTCTCAAAGACCTTAAAACTTCAGCTACAAAATGATATATACAAAGTGGTAGGCAGAAGATTTTAAATAATACATAATTTACTGACAGGGGTGCTGTCAGACAATGAATGCTGAAGACAATGGATTTTGTAGGAATTAAGGGAAAAGGAAGGCTGCTGATGGTTGAAGTAATCAGAGGGGCTTCATGTCAGAGCTGGAAACACAGCCAAATCTTTTATTTTTCGGGGGGACACAATACCTTTATTTTATTTATTTATTTTTGTGATGCTAAGGATTGAACACAGTGTCTTCCACGTGTTAGGCAAGTGCTCTACCACCAGCCCCAGAGCAAAAATTTTAAGCACAGAGAGTACTGGGAATTTCTTGTTAAGTAAAGAAAAAGGTTATCTGGAAATACATAGATGGAATCATGAAGGCTCACATGTTCCTTCTCTATGGATATTTCAGAGCCTCGTCTGGTGAGGGTTCAGGAAGGAGAGACTGCTAACTTTACAGTCCTCAGAAATGGATCTGCAGATGTTATCTGCACCGTCCAGTATGCTACTGTAGATGGGAAGGCCACAGCCAAAGAGGGAGACTTTGTTCCGGCTGAAAAAGAGGAAACCCTCATTTTTGAGGTTGGAAGTAGAGAACAGAGCCTATCTGTATATGTTAATGAAGATGGTATCCCCGAAACAGATGAGGCTTTCTATATAATCCTCTTTAATTCAACAGGTAAGCACGCTGTGTTGTTATGGTAGATCTGTTGCCTTCAGTTCTTTTCTGCATTAAGTACCACTGTCTAGTAGTTGTGCCAGCTGTACTTTCTGTGACTGTCCATGAACAAAATTGTTTGTTCTACTGCTTTCTTAAGGAATGAGATGAATGATATAAGTGTTAAAACTTCTTGTGTCATATACACCCTGCTATGCTTTTGAACCTTTCTTTCAAAATATTACAAAAATAGAAAATTCTGATATAAAGACCCTAAAACAATGGGTCTTGAACCTATAGCTGCGATGGGCATTGCCTATGTATCCATTGCTTAGGGATTAGTAGTGTCCTGTAATGCTTTTTCCTCCATCTGGGAGGATAGCTCACTTGGTTGGGAAGCTTAATTCTGTAGGCATCTGACTCTAATTGGCTCCTTGATAATTCTCTGGAGTTATCTCCAAATGAGTGGCAATTTACAAGGGGAAAAAGATGTGCTCTTCCTTCTTTTCCATTCCATAAATGAAGGATATTTTGATTCAGCCGTGTGCACCCTGAGAATGTGTTGACTCTGTCTTTAGTAAATTGGAAAGATTTAGCTTTTCTTGATATTTATTTTGTTCTTTTGGGGTTACAAGGAACTCTTTCCCTTGAACATTTTGAGAGTAAGTTGAAGATGTGATGTCCCATCATTGCTAAATACATTAGTGTGTATCTCTTGCCGTCAAGGACATTCTCCAACATAAACACAATATAACTTTCCAAAAATCAGGAAGTTAACATCTATGGGGTTATTTTCCCAGGTCCCATTCATAGTGCCCTGGTTGTTTTAATATCATTCTAGCAAAATCATCCTTTCCTTAATTATGCATTGCATTTAATTGTAATGTCCCTTTAATTTTGTCAGTTTGAAGGAATTCCTCAGTCTTTGCTGAGTGTAGAAGACCACGAGCTAGGATATCCCTCGTATTGAGTTTGTTTGATATTCCTTTATTATTGGTTTCAGTTTTTGAATCCTTGGTAGGAATTTCACAGAAATAATTCTGTGTTCTTATCATCCATCCCTTTATAAAATCATCACAAGATTCTGATTTGCCTCTTCATTATTCTGTTCACTTTGACTACAATTTAGGTGATGACCTTCAGTCTTCTCTACTGGGCTTTGCTTCCCATTGTGATTAATAAATATTTTGTGGGGAGTTACTTTGAAACTATGAAAATGTCTTGTTACTCATAAAATATTCAGTCTTTTCATCGATACTTTTATCATATGGACTTAAACTTTCTATTTAACGTAGTGAGTTATTTTTCACTACTATCATTTATTTTCAGGGCCACAGTGAGCCAGATTTGACCAGTGGTAACCTATTTGAGATGACTTTCTTTGTCTTTTGGACATTTTCTTACTTTCTGACATTGCAAGCTCTTCCAAGCTCATTTTGTACTTTTCCTGTTACATTCCTGAAATTAGCCATTTTCCAAGAAGCCCTGGTTCCTTGTAGTGAAGAATGTTATTTAGTAACTAGAATCTGGGCACTATTAATGAGGTTTTGATCTTCCTGGGTTCTGTTAGTGGGCAGATGGGGGTATATGCCCTTCATGTGCATACGTGTACATGCATTTATAGTTCTGTGCTTATGTATGTTGAAGATCATTAGTTCATGCCATTGTTTCCATTCCTATCCAATATATCAGGTTCAGTCTAGTCTCCTCCCTTTCTATTTTTGTCATTTCCTTAAGAAATCTAGTTCCCATTATCTTTAATATATTTATGCTCGTGACCAACTTCCCCTGTGTGTAACCACTTTCTCATTGCTTCTATTTCCCTGTTTCTACAATAAGGTTACTCAGGGATTACCCCACCAGGATTTTAACTTCCTGCTTTGAGCACCTCACTCTGGCTCCAGCACCCAGAACCAAGCTTAGTTCTCATGGAGAGAGTCCCTTACCCTGTGTGAGCAATAACCCCTGACACTGGGACACTGAAGTGCCTGCCTGTCAGGCCCAGTGTGAATGACAATCTTGTGTTCTACCTTGTGCTTTTTGATATTTAAAGAAGCAGAGAAAATGAAAGATCTCCTGATATTTCTTTTTGCTATTTCCGTCCATCTTCCTGTCTCTTGACTTTCTTCGTTGCTCTCTTCCTCTTTCCCCTCTTTCTCCTTTTGTCTTTTTGTTTCTCATTTTTCATATGATCTAACTAAGAATACCCAAAAAAAGTGGAAACTAAAATCTATCATCTTTAAGGAAAAAAATGACTTTGTACAATAATTACCACAAAAGAAATCTCACAACTGCAAAAAACAGACTTACATAGACCAAAAAAATTTGGTAAGTCCAATTATTTTCCCAATATTAAAATGAAAGAAATTGCTATAGATAAAATAATCTTGTTGAAGTAAAAGTGGAAAACCAGAAATTTTTAGTGGGAAGAATACAGCAGTTATGAAGGGATGAGATCATCCATCCTACAACCATTTGCTCTAGAAATAAGCTCCGGATGACATTTATTAATATTTATTAAAATTAACTTATTAACTACTTAAAATAATTCTGGTGAAATTTTTGTATTTCAAACATTTTGGGGGTTAAAATTAATTAAAATATTATCAGAAACAAAATTTCACTATTGATCAAATAGTAGATTAAAGTATCCTGAATTTCTTATAATGAGAATGGAAAATGACTCCTCAGAGAGTTTCAGTGAATTTTGTAAACTATGTTATTGGGGAAGAATTTTGACTTTGAGAGAGTTAGGTGGGTAGTGTGGAGAGAGAGAGAAAAAGAGGGAGAGCGTGCAAGCACAAGTGCACATACAAGTGTACACAGAAGTGACTGGGTTACTGGCCTGAAGTATGGGTGTTGCCAGCCTGAGGTGGCATTACATTACCATAGGAATTCTTCATAGGAAGAATTACATGCTTCTCCCTGTATTTGGCTCTGATACTTTTCCAAACATGGTGACATATAGGGATGTAATTACTTTAGCTATGAAGATTTGAATGACAAGAATTTATGCTTTCATGATTTTTTTTTTTAGTTCTGACTTCCTTTTCTTTTCTCTGATATGGCATCAAAACCTGATGAGCCTGTGGGCCTGTGGTGGGAGGGCTGAACAAACATCACACTGCATAGGTGTTTATGCCTAAGAACTATTGCTCATAGTACATGTCCTAAATGGACAAAAAACTGTGGCTACCCTTAAAGCCCCTGTTAAGTATTATTGGTTCATCTTATAAAGGAAAGGAATGAGCTTTAAGCACCACCTATGACATATAATTGTACATCATAGGAGAATCCTGCTAAAATTAGTTTTTTATCATTTTTTATTTATTTTTTTAGATTTTATGATATGCGTTTTTTTATTTTTATTTTTAGCATTTTCTACACAATTTTAAATATATATTTTTTCCATTGGCTAATTGTTGATTGACATTGATTACAATCATATATTTATGTAATTTTTTTCCTGACGTGTTAGTTTGCTATGTATAATTTAGCAAACTTGGAAATTTGTTTCCATGACAAAGCCAGAGGTTTCGTCCTCATCTAATAATAAGAGTTTTATGTGTATCAGTTCTGTAATAAATAACTCTGATCACCAGTGACTGAGTATCTGTTCTTCTAGGTATAGAATTTAATAGGAATCATTTGCCCAAGGGGCTCACAATGGATTTATGGGTGTCTGTCTGTATGTGTGTGTGTGGACACCAGTGTAGTGTGACAGTTGTTGTGATAGATCAACAGAGAGCAAAGTACTGTGGGAGCACAGTGGAGAGGCATTTAGCCTGGGGAGTCAAGGTAGGATTCCAGAAAAGCTGCTGCTTGAAGCAGGTCCTCAAGAGTGGTAAAAGCTAGTCAGGAGAGTGAAGCTGGGCAGGACTTTTGATCACATGGAGTGCCCCTGGAGCAAAAGTAAAGAGGTGGGGACTTCAGGGAAGTAAGATGAAGAGACCAAACATATGGATAGTGTGGAGAAGAAAGGAATTCGGTTTGACACCACTGGAATTGCTTATTTCTATGTATAATCAGGTCAGACTCTGCTGTTTGAAGGAAGAGACCTAAGATAAATGCTTGAGCCAATGATTCCAATAAACATGGACAGGAGCATTTTAATGTTATAGAGGAATCCTTCATTATTTTTTGTGCAATAAATGAATCGTCCTAAAAATGTGAAATTAGAAAAAAACTTTTATTTTTAATTAAGCTATTATAGCAATGTATTTATTGAAAGAAATGTGTTGTTTGTTTTTAAGTTAATTAGTTCCTCTGTAACTAAATGTATTCTCAGTGGATAAAAGGAACTATTTCACAATAAACTAGGTATCTCTGAATACAATGTACATATACATGCAGATATATATGTATGTGTGTGTGTGTATATATATATACATCTGTATATATATACACACACACACACACATAAACATCTTTGGAGAAATAGAGCAATATTTTGTGTGACCTTCACTGAGGAAATTCTTGCAGAAAATTTTATTTTACTTATAAAACTATTTATTAATTTAAAAATGTTAAATTAATAGCAAGCTACCTACTTTTTTTATTGCTTTGACTTTTCCATTTTTAATTTAGGTGATACAGTAGTATATCAATATGGAATAGCTACAGTCATAATTGAAGCTAATGATGACCCAAATGGTATTTTTTCTCTGGAGCCTATAGACAAAGCAGTGGAAGAAGGAAAGACTAATGCATTTTGGTAAGCCTGTTTGGATGAGGAAATTAAAAATTGGATAGAATGAAAAAATTATTGAGTACTAAAAATTTGAAATACTTGTTAATCCTTCAAAAATAAAAAAAAATTGATCAAAAATTGAATATTTTTAAAGTTGTCAGTCTCAATGAATGATGAACTCTGTTTATGCTGTTGCCATTTGTCTAAACAAGAATCAGTGGAAACAAAAACACTTCAGCTGGTAAGCAGAAATTGTTCTGCTCACTCTCCCCACTCCAGTTCCATCATTTGTCAAGATTGAAAAATACAAATTATCCAAATTGTCAGAAACATTTCTAAAATGACACAGTGACTGCTCTTATTCTATACTTTTGTTTTGAAAAAAATCATTACTTATTATTAAAATATTTTCCCCTTGACCTTAGAATTTGTATTTAAGTTTCTGCTTTGAAGACTTTTCAGCTGACATTTCTGTGTATTTCATCTTCTCTTGGTTGGCTAGTTCACTTAAGGAGATAGCATTAACTGCTGCTACTAGAGTTACATTTCCTATGCATTCATAAAAACTAATTTTATTCAATTTATTATGTAGGATTTTGAGGCACCAAGGACATTTTGGTAATGTGACTGTGGCTTGGCAGCTGTTCCAGAATGATTCTGTTCTGCAACATGGACAAGAATTCTATGAAACTTCAGGAACTGTTAATTTCATGGATGGAGAAGGAGCAAAACCAATAATTCTCCATGCTTTTCCAGATAAAATTCCCGAATTCAATGAATTTTATATTCTAAAGCTCATAAACATTACAGGTGCTATGTTTTTCCATCTCTTATTTTTCCAACAAAATTTTATATTTTATAACTTAAATCCAATTGAAAGAAGTGTGTGTGTCTTGATTTTCTGATTTTAAATATCAAAGTACCCTTCTTGGTAGCATTATTATCTATTTTTATTTATTTATTTTTTTATGCTGGAGGTAGATCCAGGGCCTTGTGCTTACTAAGCACAGGCTCTACGGATGAGCTAAACCCCCAGCCCCAAAATGTTGCTTTTAGTCTCATTTTATGGTCTTACTTGGGTTCAGTTGTATAGATAGAGGCTTACCTTCACCATGAAACTTGTGAATAGACTTTTTCTACATCAAATGTTGTATTTCTCCTAAAACATTAAAGGAAGTTAGGAAGTACAAATTCATAGTGGTTTAAAGCTTTGCCATAATTTAAATGATTTGCTTTCTTGTCACTTCTGGTTTTAAGCATAGGAATTTAACATCTCCAGTTTATAGCTTTTGTTCAGGGTTGACTGATTATAAAATTGTGATGAATCAGTGTTATTTGATATGTCCTCAAAAATGTGGTGAAAGCTACATGGTGATACTATGGCTCATTGATGATGCATAAATTATTTAACTAGAAGTTCATATGCTACAATTTTTTTTATATGTTATACTGGAAAGTACTTCAACTGGTTTTTCATTCATTACAAATTTTCTTATTACAGGTGGGTCCCCAGGTCCTGGAGGCCAATTTGCAGAAACCAACCTTCAGGTGACAGTAATGATTCCATTCAATGATGACCCTTTTGGAATTTTCATCTTGGATTCTGAGTGCTTAGAGAGAGAAGTGGCAGAAGATGTGCTCTCAGAAGATGACATGTCTTATATTACCAACTTCACCATTTTGAGGCAACAAGGTGTCTTTGGTGATGTACGAGTAGGCTGGGAAATCGTGTCCAGTGAGTTCACGTCTGGTCTGCCCCCAATGATAGATTTTCTACTGGTTGGAATTTTCCCCAGCTCTGTGCATTTACAACCACACATGCGGCGTCACCATACTGGAACAGATGCTTTGTATTTCAGTGGACTGGAAGGTGCATTTGGGACTGTTAATGCAAAATATCACCCCTCTAGGAATAACACGATTGCCAACTTCACATTTTCAGCTTGGGTAATGCCTAATGCCAATACAAATGGATTTGTTATAGCAAAGGATAATGGTAATGGAAGCATCTACTATGGGGTGAAAATTCAAACAAATGAGTCCCATGTGACATTTTCCCTTCATTATAAAACTTTGGGATCCAATGCTACATACATTGCCAAGACAACAGTCAAGAAATATTTAGAAGAAGGTGTTTGGCTTCATCTTATAATTATCCTGGACGATGGTATAATTGAATTCTACCTGGATGGAAATGCAATGCCAAGAGGAATCAAGAGTCTGAAAGGGGAAGCCATTAGTGATGGTGAGTGTCAACTTTGCAACTAGGACTTTGAAATTTCTAGGTTCTAAAATCTTCAACTAAATTTTGATTTTTTTAAAAAAAAGCTTGCAGATATTTATTTTTTTATTTTTTTATTATTGGTTGTTCAAAACATTACAAAGCTCTTGACATATCATATTTCATACATTTGATTCAAGTGGGTTATGAACTCCCATTTTTACCCCGTACACAGATTGCAGAATCACATCGGTTACACATCCACATTTTTTACATATTGCCATAGTAGTCTTGCAGATATTTAAAAACTGTTTTTGTATTGCCTTATTTTCTTTGAACAAAACGATGTGCCTATCAAGACCATGATAAATTCTTCACTAAATGTTTCAGAGATGCATCAAATAGTCTTTACTCATAAATAGGCTTTAGAAGAGGTATAGACAGATTACTGTAATAAATTTAGAAAGAATGAAAAAACTCTAAAGGAGGATCATTTATTCCTCTCATGAGTAGTAGAGAATAATTTTTCAGGCAGAAGAATAGCAAAAGTGTAGACATATGAAGCAGAGTATTGTACCTGGGGATCTGTTACTGGTTCAGTGTAGTTGGAAGTAGATGTAGGTAGGCGTAAGGTAAAAAGGAATCAGGAGAAAAATCACATTAAAATAATTACAGTATTTATAGTATCAGGAGATAAATTAGTGAATTCTGTGGAGTGTTTTGAAGAGATCATTTTTGTTGGCTTTAAGACAAACCACATACTGTTTCCATGAGTAATTCATCTGTGTGTATGTATACACACAAATGCTGGTTTTATCTATTATGTCACCAATTCACTCCATTTTATAATTTGATTCTATTTTATATTAAATGAGAAGATAGATCAGAGATTAAGTGGCTATAGTGTTGTATTTTCCCTCTGAATCTCACCATTAGGTGTTAACTTCTGCAGTTTTTCCAAAATAAATAATATAGAAAAAAACAAACATCATGTACACATCTACCAATATCTGCCCAAGGACTGTGCTTAGAAATATTCTATGGCATTAAATTATTTACTTTCTGATTGTGTGTATGTATACACACAAATGTTGGTTTTATCTATTATATCACCAATTCACTCCATTTTATGATTTGATTCTATTTTATCAAGGTTAACAGATGAAAGTGTATTTTCACACTTTCATCTGTTAACCTTGATTCCTTTAGTGAAAGTAATGGTGGTAGAACAAAAATGAAAAAAGATTGGGGATTGTGAATACTGGTATTTCTTTCCTTTGTTTGGCTTCCTGCAAAGAACTTATACTATTTTTGAATGTGTCACTTGGAAAGAAAAAAAATTAAAACCACATATGTATTTATTTTTTTAAAGTTATCAATGAAATATAACATATATTACAAAATATACTGAAGTGCCTGAGTACCTCAGCACACAGAAACCCCATGTATCCACCCACAACCCCAAGAAGCAGCCAAGCAACCATTCCTGAGTAGCTTGGCCCATTGAGGCACCCAAGAAGCAACTGAGCAGCCTTATTCATCCTCCATTGCCTCAAGAAGCAGTTGAATAGCCTCTTCCTCTTCTCAGACTTTTAGATCACTGTGGTCCAGAAAAGCAGAGGCTCACCCCCACTCATGCACTATTGGTCTTTGGGAGTCTAAATAAATAAAATCAGAGATGAAAATGGAGACATTTCATCTGATACTAGGGAAATACAAATAATTATTAGGAACTATTATGAACTACTATATGCAAAAACCTGGAAACCTAGAAGTGGATTAATTTATGTACACATATAACCTACTAAAATCTAACCAAGAGATCACAGAAAATGTGAACAGACCAATAACAATTAACAAGATTGAATCTGTAATAGAAAGTCTTCCAAAAAGAAAAGACTAGGCCAAATGGCCTTAGTGCTGAAGTTTACCAAACTTTTAAATAAGAAATAATGTCAATACTTCTCAAGCTAGTCCAAAGAAGTGAAAGGGGGAATGCTCCAGAGCTCACTTTTGAGGTCAGCATTGTCCTGACACAAAAGCCAACAAGAATATACGCAAGAAGAAAAGCACAGGTCAATATAGCCTATGAAATCCTTAAAAGAATACTAGCAAAATTGAATCCAACAGCACCTAAAAAAGATCATACACACAATCAAATAGGATTTATTGCTAGGAATTAAAGATGTTTCAAGATATGCAAATTGATCAATATCAAACATAAACAAAATGAAGGATTAAAAACCATATGGTCATCTCAATCAATATAGCTAAAGCATTCAATAAAATTCAACATAAGAGAAGGGAACCTATGGGATGGGAGAAAATATCTGCAAAAAAAGAAAATATTTATCCAGTAAAGGATTAGTTTCTGTAGTACATAAGTAACTCAGACAACTCTACAGCAAAACCCTCTAAATAATCAAATTAAAAATTAGTCAAATTACTTGAACAGACATTTCTCAAAATAGCTTACATGAATTACACCAAGTATATATATAAAAAAAGTTTAATATCACAAATTATCAGGGAAATGCAAATCAAAACCACAATGAGATATCATTTCACCAACTTAGAAGGGTTACTGTAATCAAAAAGACAAAAAATAACAAATATTGGTGAGGATGTGGAGAAGGGCAATCTTTCATACACTGCTGGTAGGAATATGGATTAGTATAGCCATTGTGGAAAACAGTATTCTAGTTTTCCTCCGAAATCTAGAAATAGAACTACCATGTGAACCTGCAATTGCATTGGGTATATAGCCAAATCAAAGGAATTGAACTGAATATGTCGAAGTGACATTTGTTGAAACACTATTCCTAGTGGACAGTGTATGGAATTATTCTAGGTGAATGGATGAGAAATATATATATATACACAATGGAATATTATTCAGCCACAAAAAGAATGAAATTCTAACATGAATAGAAGTAGAAAGAACATTACATTAAGAGAAGGAAATCAAGTGCATAAACAAATATCACATGTTTTTACTTATATGTGAAAGTTAAAAAGTTAATCTTTTAGAAGTAGAAAATAGAATCGTTGTGACCAGAAGCTGGGAAGGATGTAGGAGAGAGGGTTGATTAATGGGTACAGGGGTGTAGAATAACTTCTAATTTTACATGGCACATTGGGTTAACAACAAATAATTATTAGTTGACAACAAATAATTGAATATTTCAAAATAACTAGTAGAGAGAATTTTGCACGTCCCGACATGAAAAATGATGTCTGGGTGATAGATATGCCTTTTACCTTGATCTGATCATTGCATATTGTACGTATGTATTGAAACGTCAGATGTACCCTATGTATTTTTACATGTTAATTTAAAGGAAAACATATTAAAAGTGTATAAATGATAAGTATTGTAAGTACAGATAGATGAACTATAAAACTTGAATATCATTAGTTTCATCACCCACATAGTGTAACCAGCCTTCAGATCGAGAAATAGAGCATTTTAGAAGTAACTGGTGGTTCTTTTCTAGTTAGTAACTTACTACCCTGCCCACCTATGATTGATATTTTTTAAGAGCATTAATATTGATTTTTCCTGTATTAAAATTTAGGTAAATAGAATTGAATGTCTGACTTATTTTGCTCAGCATTGTTTTTGAGGTTCATCCATATTTTTGCCTATTTTACATACCTTATGCTCATGTTTTTATAGTATTCCATTGTGTAATTAGAACAGTATTTTTTCATGGTATTTCAAATTTGTTTGCATTGTTTCCAATTTTGGGCTATTACATTCAGCATTTCTCTTGAATATTCTTATATAAGTTTTTTGGATGAAATTTTCTCTGCTGTCTATTCCTGGGGATGGAATTGCTGAATCATTGTGTGTGTGTGTGTGTGTGTGTGTGTGTGTGTGTGTTTATTCAGTTTTAATAGATAAAACCTAGCAGTTTTCCAAAATAGTTGAAACTATTTATATTATCACTTTTGGTATATCAAAGTACCATTTCACCAATGCTTATTTTATCTTTAGAAAACCATTTTGGTAGGTTTGTGATGGTTTCAAAAATTTGTATTTTTAAAGACATAATTGTATGGTCAATACAGAAATCTAGGAAAATTTAAAAGTACACATATAAAACAAAAAATAACAATCATTCTCATTACCATAATTCTAAGATCACCATTATAAACATTAAGTGTATTGCTGAAATTTTTATATCTATAAAAATATATATATCACCAATTTTTACTTCCTTGTCAAAGTAATATATATGCATTTTACAAAATTTTAAAAGCATAGAATAATATTAAGATGCAGGGCTGGGATTGTGGCTCAGTGATAGAGTGCTCGCCTAGCATGTGCGAGGTGCTGGGTTCTATCCTCAGCACCACATAAAAATAAATAAATAAAATAAAGGTTAAAAAAATACATATATAAATTAAAAAAAAATGTAAGGTGAATATTACCATGTTCTCTCCATTCTGAAGGGACCATTATGACATTGTGTCTTTATAACTTTTTTTGTTTTGGATGATTTAGCATTTTAGCTTAAATAGTTGACACTAAAATTAGAGAAATATTGATAAGGTTTGTTCCAGAGAAGTAGTCATAGAAACAAAGCATTTAGAATGCCTCAAATTTATATAGTGTTTTATAGTTAAATGGCTTTTTTCATACATTACCAAATTTTAACTTCACTATAATTTATTAAATATTTTATAGGTAAGAAAATACAAGTCAGAATTGATAAATAAATTAACTAGCATCACATGGCCAAGTCATAGAGGAGCCAAAGCCTGAATATAATCTTTTAACTCAGTATTGTTTTAGTTTATCACAGAAACAATACTAAAGAAGAGCTGACCACTTCTATATCCTTGACTTTATGCAGTGTCTTGGCTGCAACAGATAGTTTTATGAGGACTAGGAAGCTTACATCATTAAAGTTGATAAATAACTCTAGAGAAGGGAGCACATCATAGGATTTATCACCAGCCTGGAGTTCAGAGGAGTGGTTCTGGTTTACTGGGCAGGAAAGTGGTCTCCATAGTAGGCACACTTGTGATAATGTGTATAATACTTGTGACTTCACTAAAGGAGCAACCTGGGTAACAATTTGTAAAACTGCCTTCATTGAGACTATTGATAGAAAACATTTAGAGCATTCTTTTCCAGAATCACTGCCAAACTCTCACCTTACATAATTCATTATCTTAGCTGAATTATTAGGCAAGAAATAAGGAGACAAACAAGAACTGGTAAAATCCTGAGAAGTGTTGTCATTGAGATTGAAGTAGCATTGTTGGGCTGCATGTTATTATAAAAAGTCCCTAAGACTCACATATGATGTTTCTGGGAAGAAATGCTTTGATTTCTGTATTTATTCCACTAGTTATTTGGATAAAGAAATATATTTGACCCATGGAAACTATTTTTTTATGAATTCTTACTTCATTTAGCTCAAGATGAGTTTCTAATACATCAATCTTTGACGTTCTCTAAAAATAGGAATACTTAAGTTTTAAAGTTGTGACTGAACTAAACCATTCCATTTTTAGACGGGCAAGTAAATTTAATAAAAATTCATGAAGAAATGTGTATCCAAATACACATATACCCAAGCAAACATACATGCATGATTATGTGTATATGTGTTAGTTATTTTTAAATCCTAAAATTGTTTTTCATAGACTGACAGAATGACTTATAAGGCTATTATTTAATTTGAAGATAGTTGTCAATTTCGTTAGTACACAATTTCATAAATTCTAGTTATTGCTTAATAGATTCATTGTTTATCATAGTAGAACATAACCTTAATTTGTATATCAGTTATATTAAATTTTTACATATAAAAAATATTTTTCAATAAGATTGGATTGCTTTCTAAATTAAGTTACAATTTAGGACATGACGTTGATATGTAGCATTTAAACCTCTGTCTCATTTCAGGTCCTGGAATATTGAGAATTGGGGCAGGAATGAATGGTAATGATCGGTTTACAGGTCTGATGCAGGATGTAAGGTCCTATGAGAGGAAACTGACCCTTGAAGAAATTTATGAACTTCATGCTATGCCTTCAAAGAATGATTTACATCCTATTTCTGGATATGTGGAGTTCAGACAGGGAGAAACTAACAAATCATTTATTGTTTCTGCAAGAGATGACAATGAAGAAGAAGGAGAAGAGTTATTCATTCTCAAACTAGTCTCTGTATATGGAGGAGCTCACATTTCTGAAGAAAATACTACAGCAAGATTAATCATACAAAAGAGTGACAATGCCAATGGCTTGTTTGGTTTCACAGGAGCTTGTATACCAGAGGTGAGCAGTGAGCTGGAAAATTTTGTAATTAAAAATTTGATTATGGGTGAGATTATTTGGTAAGATTGCCAAAGTATTTACTTTTTGGGCCAGAAGTGTGTGGTATAGGTGGTGCTTACAAATATAAATTACAGTCTCTGCCCTTATAAATTCACAGTTTGATTCAAATTAATGAGTTGGTGGCACACGCCTGTAATCCCAGCAGCTCCTGAGGCTGAGATAGGAAAATCACGAGTTCAGAGCCAACCTCAGCACTTAGCAACTCAGTGAGACCCTGTCTGTAAATAAAATACAAAATAGGGCTTGGGATGTGGCTCAGTGGTTGAGTGCTCCTGATTTCAATCCCTGGTACTTTAAAAAAAAAAAAAAGTAAACAAGACAGCAAGTAAATCTTAGCAATTATCCTTAAAGTTACTGCATTTTGAAAATTCAAGTCATATTCCACACATAATTTACTTTTGGGTACTGCTTTGGATACTGTATAAGTAAATGAACTAATATATATTGAAAGCTAGTATATATAATTGTTAATGAAATTTTATTCAAATATGAGTTTTGAGGTTTTTTCCTTGTTCAAAGCATACTTTAGTTGTTATAATATTCTTCAGTGTTGTCTATAGATGCTTTTCTTGCCAACCTTCTTGGCCAGCTAAATTCATTAGCAGTTTTACTGTGCTTATCAGTTCTTTCCATGTTTTCAAAGATCAGTAATCATCTTGGTTTCCCATTCAGTAATATGAGAGTGAATGAAACTACTTCACAGGTGTTTTGTGTGACAGCAACAGCTCAATGTCTATGGATGTTGCCAAGAAACAGGAGAACATTTCCCTTTGAAAGCTGATTCTAATACATTTAGAAGAATGTCTATGTAAATTGAAATGATTAAGAAAAATAGGGGTGTATAGGACTTGAAAAATTTATCTACAGCACAGGCATCATTGTAGCTTAAATGGGAATGCCTGGCCCTCTGAAAAGTCACATAGTCCCTTTAGCTCTGTGGTTTGGTGATATCATAAGAGATCTTCAAATGGTGGTCATATTTTTTTATATCATAAGTAGAGTACCTCTTAACTAGAGAGAACAAACATCATACAAATCTGCAACTTAAAAGAGAAATGTTCATCAACTGTGAAACTACTTTATATGAATGTTCAGAGAACTTTTATATATCAAATTTTATGTTTTATATATCAAATTTTATGTCCATATTATAGGTGCAGCACATATTAATTATCAGTTTCTTTGTAGTAAAGAACAAGAAATTGACATTTTCAGGCACAAGAAGAAGATAACCCAAGTTGAAGTAAGTGGGAAATGATCAAGTCATATGACTGATTTGTAGCTTAGTGATTACTAGTGCTTAATGAATATTAGTTTCCCCTTTTGGTTCTCAGATACAATGGGAAGAACTAGAATTTGAACATACATGTGTCTTGTGATTCTAAGCTGCTATCTTTCTCTCTAAGTTGTTAATACCATTATTTTAAAAAAGGTGGATGGCTTTTATCAAGTTATAAAAACTACTGGGGTGCCACACAAACTCAGATTCCTTTCAAGATCTGTCATGTTGTTCTCTTCTTTGGTTTCTGTCTAACTTGTGTTCCACCATGCGGCCAGCGCAATGGGTTCATTAATGAGGTTCTTGGTATAAAACTTAGCTAGCAGAGATCAAAATAAAACACACAGACTCAGTTACCTTTTTACTATGACCAGGTCCTAGAGGGCTCCCCTCTCTGGTACCCACCTCTAATCGCCCAGCAGGGCAGCAAGGATTACTCAGGGCTAGCAAAAGAGAGAGAGAGGGAGCACGCCAGGGAGTAGCCTTTTATTGGGGAACAAGAAATTCAGGGGAGAATTCCATCCAGTGAAGGTTGAGGGGGGACCACACTCCAAGGTCAAGGTCAGTGATTTGGCCCCCGGGGTCAGTGGTCAGACACCCACCCACATGGACGGGTTCTCTCATCAGGAGAGGGCCGGGGAAAGTTTCGACACAGCCAGAATGCCTCAGACCCAAACCGGGAGTCGCCCAGTCACGTGTGAGAATGGCTCCCCACATTGTGTGGCTTCAGTTTTGACCTCTGGGCATTATTGATCTCTCTTTGCAACACTGTTGTTCCACATCTTCATGTTTAGTCATTGGAACCTCAGCTCCAAAGACATTTTCTGTGTGAACATCTTGTTAAGTAACTGATTTCTATTTCTGCCTTGTAACTCTTTATCCATCCATAGTTTTATTTTTTCTTTCATAGCATTGATCATACTCCCAAATCCCTTCTGTTATTTTAAAATCTTCTTATTAACTGGTTATCTCCCTCCACCACAAAAATGAAAGATCTTTGAGTGTAATATGGTCTTATTGTTTATTATTGTATCTATACTACCAAGAATGGAGCATGATAAGTACTCAATAAATCTTTGTTGGAGCTTATGAATATATTTTAATATTAAAACATGAAAAAGACATAGAGCAGTTAAGATTTAAGATGTATTTTGACTAAGTTAAAACTACATGAACAACCAGACTGATGGGGAAAAAAATACATAACAAAATTTTAAAACCTGCCATTATAGTTAAGATTTCAATGCTGGCTTGCCTCTCAAATTTCATTGATAGATTGTGGTGAGTATTGGTTTAGTTATCTAGGTATGTAGCTATATTCCTGTTGACTTCTGATTTTGAACATGACTAGCCAAGCCTTGCAATGCAGAAGAGAGAAGTTTCCTCCATAGACCATAGTACCCAAGCTGAAGTTCTGGAAAGAACAAAATGGAATGGAAATAGAATGAGTCCACATTAGAAAGAAATAGATGATTAAAATAGGAAAATTTTTATTGACTTTCAGGAAGATTACACAGTTTCATTCCTAAAAAAGTTAATAGAAAATTTAATCTCTGTGATTTGAGGTAGGAATCCTCAAATATTTTCAATATCATCATAAACAACAATGATATTTATTGGTTGCATACTGAAGTCATTCTCAAAGTAACCCAGAGAGTCCATTTCCAAGGACCCCTGGAGTTTCCTGAGGTCCTTTCCAGGGGGTCCACAAGGTCAAAACTAACTTTTTAAATAATACTTCAGTTTTTTTATTTCTTCCTTTTAATGACATTTTGTACTAAAAACATAGCTTCTAGTGCTTTTACACAAATCAAGGTTGCAGTGTCACATTGTACCAGTTATTTATTCACCATCCATAGTTTAAAACATGCTAATTTCATGATATAAGAAGTACAAATGAAGTACTTCTGCTATATTATCAGAACACCGTAATTGTCTCCATGAAAAGTGATTATACAAATTTTGAGTCATGAGTTTAACTAGCTTCTGTTTTCATGGAACACCAGTTTCACTTAAAATGACTGACATTTAGTTATTCAGACTTGGGTATTTGGCAGACATTTTCATGAAAATAAGCAGAGTGAGCTATTGATTACAAGAAAAACAACTGACAGTTCTTGCTGATGATAATAAAAATTCAATCTTTCAAATGAAAATTTGAATTTTGTAGCACTTTTATCTGCCAAAGTGAGCCTGACTGTTTCCCATTACTTAGACTTTTTAGATAAGATTGACAGTGATATCAACCAGTATAATTATTTTGTATGATGAAATGTGTCAACAAAGAGAAGATATGTATAACTCAGTAAACCAATATTTTCCAAATAATCATTGCATATTATTATAATATCATTCATGTGTAAAACATTGATTCAGAGTACAAAGTAGGCCAATGTATTTTAATGTAATAAAATATGCTTGAACATTGCAGCTAAATGTTGAGGAACTTCCTCTTGTCAAATTTTGGTATACTATTGCAGATAAAAACATACAATCATCTGAAAAAGACTTCAAATCTTCATCCTTTTCCAATTATGTATTTAGATAGGGCAGGATTGTCTTTATATACTTCAAGTAAAATAACAGAGAACAACAATTGGTTCAAAAAGGAGACATAAGAATCCAGCTGTTTTTGTTAAGGCAACATGAAAGAGACTTGTAAAAATGTAAAACAGTGTGATCTTATCACTGTTTTATTTTGTTTTTAAATATAGTTACGTATAAAGATATGTTGCTCAGAATGGATTTTTCATAGGTATTTAAGGTATGTTATTAAATAATATTTAATTTGTTCATTTTATATTTGTCATATGATAAATATCAATAGACTTCAACAATATAGGCAAAACTCCTTTAGAGTTCTCAGTAATTTTATGACTGTTCAGGGGTCCTTAAAAGAAAATATTTGAGAACTGGATTTACTTTATGCATGGGATTGTCTTCACTCTAACTTGCTTGTTTTTCACAATTAAAAACTACTGTCATTTCCATAAATTCTTTTCCATTGTATTGTTGCAAAGACATTGAAAATTCCACTTTTTTCCCCTCCTGATCCTTTCAAATTTTCTGAAGGCAAGAGAGATCCTTTAAAAATACTTCTCTGAGTTATGCTACACTTTTACATTTTCTTACACTGTGTTTGTTTTTAAGTGCCTGCCATATGTTATGTGAATGAAATAAGTGATTATCAATATAATCTGATAGCACAGATCATCACCCAAGCATGAAAGAAAATTAAAAATTAATTGGGTTTGTAATTGTTTAACACTAATCTTCTGTTCAATACAGAAGGACAATTCATGGCTTAGAATACTGTGTTTTATTTTTCCGAGTAAATACATTTTAAAAACTTTTCTTTTGATTACCTTTGTTAATACTTGATCTGAAGATTTGGCAAATTCCTGAGTTGAAAGAGGAAACAGTAGTGAGGATTGTTATTTCTATTGTGAAATTAGTGAGAATGGTTTAGAAGAGTACTGTGGATCTTGTGCATTTTCACACACTGGCCTAAATGTTTGTAGCATGATTCAAAAGTCAATTAGATGAATATTATATTAGAAAATACTATCAGGTTTTAATTTTGTTTTAGTCCTTTTAAATATTTGTTTTATTTATATATTTTTATGGGGTGCTGAGGATGGAACCCAGTACCTCACAGGTACTAAGAAAGTGCTCTACCACTGAGCCACAACCCTAGCCCCTAATTTTAATCTTATTAATATTAATAATTATATTGTGTAGTCTGATGTTTCTTGAGGTGTTGTCTACAGAAGACCTTGGGTGAAAATATTTAATGCATACCACTGGAAAACCTCCTTGATTCAGGTTCCCATTCCTGGATCAACGTTCCTGGTTGGAGGAGGGAAAAAGCAATGTGGAATGAAAAATCTTTCTTGATGAAAAGTTTCATATATATATAGACAAGAGAAAATTATTGGTCCAGTGTGCCCATCACCTAGCTTCAGTAATTGTCAGGCTTTTGCCAATCTTGTTTCATCTGAAATAGTTTTAAAAGCAAACCTCAAATATTATGTCCTTTCTCTTTAAGTTCATAAGAATTAAAGGTAGATTTTTACCTAGCATCCTAGGTGATTTTTTAAAACAAACCCTTGATATTTAAAGGATCTTCTCTAGTTGGAAATTTATAAAGCTTGCTTTATGGAATATAGTACTTACCTATTAAATTTTCTATACAATTTTGATATATAGCATATGTTCATACACACTTTTATAAGGGTAGTGATTGCTTTTTCTTTTTTAAAACTGAAAACATTCAGAAAATTATAGATTTTGATGATGCTTTTACTAACTGAAAAATGTAGTGTGATTCTTGCAAACAAAAATCTCTTATCTTAGGCCTGGATGCTGCATGGCTATTCTCTGACTTGGAAAAATTTAAGTTGCTAAGGAACCCTCACAGATTCCTGAATCTTTGGATCTATTTGATTCATGCCTCTTGCCGAGAAAGGAAGGGCTGAATATTTATATACTTAGATGAATGATTTATTAATTTAACTCATTCAAAATATTCATTCTCAAAAAAATTTAGGGTGGGAAATGGAGAAAATCCATTGTTATTGTAATGAGAATTGAAATATATGGAAATCAGATTGCTTTTTAATGATATATGCATGCTTCTTTCCTTATAACGTGAGATAGTATTTTCATGTAGCTTTTTATTATGCATGTATGTCTGTATTTTAAGGGGCAATAAATCTCCACAGAGTCTATGAAACATTATGGTCCTCCTTTAGGAAGAGACTGAGAATGTTTGATAAGTAGTAGAATGAAGACACTCAGGAGTCTATGACATTAAATCCATACTTTTTCTACTAGACAATTTGCTCAGTTTCTGTTTTGCCAGTATGAAAATGCAGATGCAAAACTTTATGTGGAAATTAAATAGGATGCTGTATTAAGCATCTGGGTCTTTTTGTTACTTCCTTCTTTTCTCTCCAACCCTTTAAGGTTGGATGGCCTCACCCAGAGAACAGTTCATTCTAACATAATATGGTTGATGAGTCCCTATAAGCCATCATGCTATGCCAGATTATATAGTGAGTTGAGCTTATGGAAAAGATGGGGTTAGGAGAACACTACTCAAAAACTTGGTCAGTGACATTTAGAAAGAAAGGGAATAATTAAAACGTTGTGTACATTAAATGTTTAGTGTTTCCACACTGTAGTATATACAGCATATTACCTTGAAAATGACCTTATGAATATTTGTAAAAGTTGGCATTGGAAGGATTTCAGTTTGTGTGCCATTGTAAAGTGAAGGAAGGAAGGTTATCTAAAATTGGAGGAACAGTTGTAATCCTAGAAGTAGAGAAGTGTGGTAGCAGCACATGTGGTGAACTGAGGCAGATGGTAGATGTTGGAGCTGTGTGTGTTCCTATATAGCTTGTTTTGGGTGGATCAGTTTCCTGTGTCCCTCATATTTTTTGTGGATGAAATTGCATTTAAAAGCACATGCAAAACTCAGGTTTTATTCAAATTGTTTTTTTGCTTGTGATACTTGGGATTGAATCTGGGATGTTCTACTGCCAAGCTATTTCTCCAGCCCTTTTTATTTTGAAACAGGTTCTTACTCATTTGCTGAGGCTGGCCTTGAACTTGTGGTCCTCCTGCCTCAGCTTCTCCAGTGACTGGGATTATAGGCATCCACCACTGTGCATAGCTAATACTTGTATTTTTAATCTCTTTAGTTTTTTGTTCTTTTTTTCCCTCCAAATTACGTATCTGCTAACATAAAACTAAAACTGAACTGATAGCCTGAGAGTTTGAAAGTATGAAGACTTATTTTTTTTAAATGTTTCAATTTCTTGCTCCATATTTAAACTGATATCATTTTTTAGATCAAAACATTACCTTCTTGAAAAATACACATGTGTTTTATACTTGTATATATATATATATATGTATGACAAAAATATTAAAAACATATTAAGCATGACATCAAATGTCCTTTTTGATCTGACAGTTGTCTCCACATTAGAGCCTCCTTGAGGCTCGCCACTTGGTACTTGATATCATTCCCAGAATAATTCCTCCGGATATACTATATTGCTTCTTATGTCTGTAAAGTTCTTCCTGATGTCAGGTTTCATTCTCTACCCCCCACCTCTGGCCCCATGTGGTCTGGTCTGTGCTGAAATCATCAATAAATCCCAAGTTTGTCTTTCTCTTTAGGATTATGTTTATGCAGAGAAAAGATTATGCATTTTTTGAAAGTAAAAAAAAATCTTTTGTAAACATAGCATCTAGCACCATCATGGCACACAAGAGATTCAATGAGTGAGTTGCATATACAGTTTAGAGGTCATGATTCATTTGCTTTATTTATCTATATGAATGAATGAGAGGAAACAAATGATTGTAAATACTTCTTAGCAATCAGAAATATACCTGGGGGAATGTAGAGGCCTTCTAGTCCCTTTTAGAAAAGTGGAAAGTTATAAATTCTGGTTAAAGAGAAGATTTCATGAAAGATTTTAATTTTATCACCAATTTTAATAGATATATTCATAACACATGTCAGTAATTTATGTTCCATTTCAGATTGCAGAGGAGGGATCTACCATTTCATGTGTGGTGGAACGAACCAGGGGAGCTCTGGATTATGTACATGTTTTTTATACCATCTCACAGATCGAATCTAATGGCATTAATTACCTTGTTGATGATTTTGCTAATGCCAGTGGAACGATCACATTCCTTCCTTGGCAGAGATCTGAGGTAAACCTTGTCTTCTTTGTTTCTTTGAAAGTGTATTGGAAAGGTTTTTCTGCTGTGTTTGTTCTGTAATTTTAATTGCAGCTTTTTTCTATTTAAGCAACTTAAAATACTTAGGAGATGAGGTGTATGTCATGGCATATATATTCTTGTATATGTAAAAGAAAAGTTAAGAATTTTGAATAATATATGTTCAGTTTTATTTATTCTTTAATCCCAATATAATAAGAGTGGTATAGCTTGAGAGTATATCGTTGTGAGTATTTTGTTATAACTGATACAGAGAGAAACCATTCAGTTCTTAATGGGACTCTTCCAATCAGCCAATGAGAAATTCTTTTAACTGTAATTTCATTTTATTTACATTAAATTTGGAGAAATGAGATACTTGTTTTGTACTTCAAAAGTGCAAGTTACCTCCAGTTTTATTAAAATAGTCTTACTGCTGAATAGATGCTCCATAAATAAATGATACTTCCTATAATGAAACTGGAATGAAATTTCTTCCTGTATCAGAATTTTAAATATTTGGTTAATATATAATGTTAGAATATTCATATCAGTATAATTTTTTACATTAAAATATAAATAGCTTATAGTTCATCAGGCATTCATACAAATAACTTAAAGCTTATAATTAATAAATAGTCTTTGAAGAGAGTTTGAGGGACTTAACAAATTAATTGGATAACAAAATTGAGAGATCATTTCAACATTTTTAAAATAAAAAAAGCAGAACAGTAGTCAAATCTTTATAATTTGAGAGAAGAAAGAAACGAATTAAATGGTTTATAACAAATGTTTCCTATTATCTGCAAATAGGTCTATGAAAAAGAATTTGCTAATCTTTGGTAAAATGAGGACACCAATAAATTTTCATACAGCTAAAATTATTTGATTTTCAGAATAATATTTTATTCTGTTTTTTTAAAATATTGTCTTGGATTTGAACTGTTCTTTCTCTTTTCTTTCTTTCATTTTTTTTTTTTTTTTTGGTTCTAGGAATTGATCCCAGGAGCACTTAATCACTGAGCCACATCCCTTGGACCCCCTTTTTTATTTTTTTAAGACAGGGTCTAGCTAAGTTACTTAGGGCCTCACATTCTGAGGCTGGGTTTGACCTTGCTATGCTCCTGTTTCAGCCTCCCAAGCTTCTGGGATTATAGGTGTGCACCACTATGACCAGCAAGGTGTTCTTTCTTTATGAACTAAGATAGAGTATGATAACTTTTTAATGCTTCTATTTGACAAAACAGACTTAATACCCCAGATTTTCTTGTGGAAAATTTACCAGCTACATCCGGTCTGATGATGCATACCTGTAATCCCAGTGACTTGGAAGGCTGAGGCAGAAGGACTGCAAGTTTGAGACCAGCCAGGGGACTTAGCAAGACACTGTTTCAAAATTTAAAAAACCAAAGATGTAGCTCAGTGTTTTTGTGTGCTCCTGTGTTCAATCCCCAGTACTTGGGAAATTTTTACCAATTATAAGATAAAAATGTAATTGGGAACCATTGTTTTATAACATTCATATACAATTTGGAAGAGATAAAATAGTAAATCAAATTTGGTAAGTAAAATAGTTACAAATGTTGTAGTCAAGAATTATTTAAATATTATGTTTTATAATTTTTAAATTTCTTTTTCCCTAAAGAAAATAACAACATGATTCAAGAATAATGATGATATTTAGGTAATAACTGTCATTTTTAGACTGCTTTTTTAAAAAAACACATTGATTATTCCATCTATTAACTGTAATCATAAAAATATGATTTAAATGAGATTAGAAACCAAATTTAGAGCATACCTCAGACCTACTGAATCAAAATCTTCGGAAAAGCATTTTTATAAACAAGTTGTCTGGGTACTTTTAGGCCAGTGGTCAGTGATTGGAGACTGTTTGGATTTGGTTTGTTTTCAGACTGTTGCCCCATTTCTTTCTGGGAGATAGCAGGAAGTCGCCCTTCATTCCTCCTTTTCCCTCAGTCCTCATCTATTGCCAATCAGTTCTCAAATCCAGCTATTTTCCTTGTCTTTTCTTACTGCATTGGTTCAGAATTCCATCCTTTCAGGTCAGTCATTTCTTAAGGCTTCCTCTTGCATCTCCTTTTGCTCTCTGTCCATGCTATGTACATTGTACCGTGGTCCGCCTCTTAAAGCAGATTTCTCATTTTGTCCATCTTCTGCTTAGGATTCTGAAGTTTACCTCTAATCTCTAATGAAATAAATTCTAAATTCTTGATGATAGAAGCATAAACATCTTCTATGTACCAACTCCTGGCCATTCATCTGGCTCTTTCAACTGCTCCAGAATTTATGACCTAATTACCATTCCCAGCACATGCCTTTGCCAATGTTTCGTCTTTTGCTTGGAATATCCTTCCTGATTATTATTTTCAACTGTAATAAATCCATTAGGTATGGCTTGCTTCAAATGCCTCTTCTGTAAAACCTTTACCAGATAGAGTTAGTTGTTTCTTTCTCACTTTGCACACAACTCTATCATGACATTTCTACATTACATTTTAAAGGTTTTTCCATATATCTGTCTCCTACAACAGATTATAAGCTTCTTGGAAAGTAGGTCTGTGTTTAAACTCTGGGACACTAGATATATCCATTAATTAAAAAAGAAGGAATTTTTTATTTGCTGTAAATTTTATGGAACATTTTTGAGTTATGGTTACTTCTTTCATAACTTTTTTTGGACTAATTGCTTCTGCCAGACTTCTAATTCTCAATGTAAATCTACTTTCTAAAATACTTATTAGTGGTATTAGACTCTACTGCATACTGCTCTGTCCTTTCTTACCAGCCTACTACATACTATCATGTAGTTCCTTCATTCGGAACTCTACCCTGAGACTGGCAATACCGGTGACCTTGGTATGAGGATATGATATGATATTGATATAGCACATCAATATATCTTACATTACATATTATTGCATGAATAGGATACTTAAGACAGAAAATTTTACTATGCAGCTCCTTCCTTAGTTTGTTCAGACAGCTATAACAAAATGTCTTATAATGGGAAGTTTAAACAACAGATTTATTGATCATAGCTCTGGAGCCTGGGAGGTTCAAGATCAAGGTGCTTGTAGAATTGGTGTCTGGTGAGGCTCATTCTCTGCTTCATAGTTATGGCACCTTCTCACCACATCTTCTCTCTCTCTCTCTGTCTATATAAAATAAAAATAGATTTATGTACACATGTATATCTATATCCACACACACACATATAAAAACATGTACACATGTTTGCTTTAATTGTGTAAGCTTATGTAGAAATGTTATATTAAATAGAAATTTCAATTAAATTTAATTTAACTGTTTTATTTTCCTCTGGTAAGTAGTTTATCCATGCCTCATTGCTTAATGCCTTTGGATTTATAAATTTATAGGTCCTGAATATATATGTTCTTGATGATGATATTCCTGAGCTTACTGAGTATTTTCGGGTGACATTGGTTTCTGCAATTCCTGGAGATGGGAAACTAGGTTCAACTCCTACCAGTGGTGCAAGCATAGATCCTGAGAAGGAAACAACAGATATCACCGTCAAAGCTAGTGATCATCCATTTGGTAACTCACCCTGTTCAAAAGCTTTTCTTTCTACTCTGTGTGTACTTGGTTTTATTATTTTATTTTTTTAAGGGACTTTTTGCAAATGATTGAAGCAGAACTCTTTGAGACCTTCTAACTTCTATGGTCTTTAATTTCTAAACTGCCATTTTGAGAGAGATTATTTATGGGAGAAAATAAAAAGAGATTTCTGAACTTAAGTAATATATTTTGGAAAGTTTTTCAGGATATTTTAAAAGTAAAAAGCAACTCCATTTATGCCTATCAGAATTCCTTTAATTTAAAAATTAGTATATGGTGATATGTTAACAAATTGAAGTATTTTCTAATTTATGTTTTATTAGCCTTTAAGAAGTGAAGTTATCTCTATTTATAGTAATTTGGATCGTGTGCTGAAAAGTTATAATTTTTTAATTAGGGAACTATCATAGATGTCTGTCCTACTAAATTAAGAATATTTTTGTATTGAAAAGTAATATAAATCTAAGTAGAAACCTGGGAAACACTGGTTTTTGTAGTTTTTTTTTTTTTTTTTATGTGTACAAATCCTTTAAGGTCCCACTAATCCTGTTCCACAATGGGTTCAAGAATTAATAAGAGACTCCAGTCAAATAAAAGTATGTGTTTGAACATGTATGTTTTAAAAACCCATCAGTGTTCCTTTTTCTGATGTTTCTTTTGGAAAAAAAAAACCTTTCTTTGAGTAAATACAAGGGAAATTAGCATTTATACTTTTAACATTATGAAAGCTTATAAACATTTTATATCAAAGCATCTTCATCAAATCTTGGCTAGAATCTTTCTATTTTTTATTTATTTATTTTAGTTTTTTGAGGACCTTTATTTTTATTTATTTATTTATTTATATATGGTGCTGAGAATCAAACCCAGTGCCTCACACCTGCTAGGCAAGTGCTCTACCACTGAGCCACAACTCCAGCCCTTGCCTAAAATCTTTTCTACATTAAGGCCCTCAGAATTTTGGCCTGGTGATTAAAATGATTGTGCAAGATTGCTTCAAATGAAGGAGGAATTGTCCTGTGGGCGACTGGGAGAAGAATGCCCTGTCTCTTTGCCTCCTCCAGGCTTGCTGCAGTTCTCCACGGGGCTGCCCCCACAGCCTGAGGACCCCATGAGCCTGCCGGCAAGCAGTGTGCCGAACATCACTGTGCAGGAGGAGGATGGAGAGGTCCGGTTATTGGTGGTCCGTGCACAAGGACTCCTGGGGAGGGTGACTGCGGAATATAGAACAGTGTCCCTGACAGCTTTCAGTCCTGAGGACTACCAGGTACATCATTATCCTTTGAAGCTCCATTTGTCCTTGTAAAATAACTTCTTTAATAACCAAGGCAGAGTAAAAATAAGGACAATACCCTTGGAGGACTGGAAGAGACTTGCAGAATACACTAAACAAAGAAAATGAATGCTGATAGCCTTTTGACCTTTTAACTTTAGGCAAATTAAGATGCTTTATTGTGTTGAAACCTGACACTTAAATAGCTACTGTACTTTTTTGTATTTATACTTGTCATAGTCTTCTTTCGTATTATTTGTTTTAATGTTGTAGGTTTGGATCAGATACATGTAAGATTTTGTTTCTTGCCAGGTATGGTAGTGCACACCTCTAATCCCACTGACTCTGGAGGCTGAGGCAGGAGGATCCCAAGTTTGAGGCCAGCCTGGGCAACTTAGTGAGACCCTGTTTCAAAAAGAAAAAGAAAAATGTTTCTTAAATAATATTTCAAATCCTGTTATCTCCATCAGACAGAATCGAGATTGTAAAGAAATTACATGTCTTTTTAATCATTTATTTCTTCAAGTGGGGAGTGCCATAAAAAAGCTTCGGATTTAGAATGGACAGAACTGGGATTTAACTTCACCTTTAAATGTGTGGCCTTGGGAGACTTAGTTTTTCCTAAGTTCAGTTTCCTTACCTGTAAAAGTGGAGATATATCATATAGCAGGGTCATTCTGAAGATAAATGGCTATGTTGAAGTGCCTTGTATTGTACACGATGCACCTGTAGTAATACCCAGTAACCTACTCTTCTTATTATTGCCCGGATTCTTATTGAGCAAATGCTTTCGGTTTTGGCAGTTCTCCTTGAGAAAGATTTTTATATCCTTCAACATTTTTGTTTTTCCAAAGATTCCTTTTCTTTAAATTTAATGTTCATTTTCTTGTTTTTCACCTTCTTCCTAAAAAGACCCACACAAAGTTGCAATGTTCTGTATTTTGTGTCTGTTTTTCCTCCCAATCCCCAGAATGCTGACTAATTGAATTCCATTAATTTTAACTACAGTCCAATCAGCTAAGTTGTCCTGAATGTCTTCTTCTTCTAATTCTTACTTAGGTTATATATATTTTTTTGCCACTGGCATTTATTGTGCCCTTAGGTGGATATGTAATGTATTCCTCAATTCATCTCATCTTGGCTTAATGTGTTCTCTGCATTCTCTTAAAGCAGTACTTTAGTCCTCATATCAGTGTTTTTAAATTTCTACTTTGAACCTGTCCACTGCTAGTTGTTTTATAACTTTCTTTAATAATTAAAACAAAATAAAATAAGGAACCATCTGTCCCCATCCTTCAGGATATGAGAAAGTTCATGCCCTTGGAGGCATTTTTGAGGATTCTCAGGGTACTTAGCTGCCCTATGTGTTACCTGTCACCACTTTATACTGTTACCTTAATCTGTGATAATCTGATAACTTCTGCTGCCACCACTTATTACAATGTGTCAACTCTTTCTGGTCTGTGTTAGCACAAGAGTAAGATTTCTTAGATGAGGTGTGTAAGTGTTTATGCTTATATTGTGGGAGGGGAGGCGACTGGAAGCATCATGTACAGAAGAGGAAACAACTGAATTTTCAGATATCACTGTTGTTAACTTTATTCTCATGTACCAAGTTACAAGTGATCTGCACTACTCAGGTGCATAGATCTCAGCTATCTGTAGTGATTTTAAACAGATAATTACTGAGTTACAGCTGTGGAAAGTATTCAAGATGTGAGATCTGTAAGAGGTGGGTGTTGATGAAGACTGGACAGTGAAGGAAGGCTTTCTACCGATCCCTGAGGTTTATAGAGAAGAAAGACAGATGAAGGGACAAGAAATGCTTGAGACAGGTAAAATAGATTGAGCAAAGGTGTCAGTTAGGGAAGGAGCTGTCAGAGGAAATGAAAGAGGACCAGTGCTTCCACAATGTGGAGAGATCAAGTGTGGTGATAAAAGACAAGGTGCACACAGAGTGGTTCGTTCAGGGCCTTGCAGATCAGCTAGACTTCTTTGGATTTCTTTTTTCTTAAGAAGGTGAAATACTTGAAAGGTGTTATGCATTCATAAAAGATCACTAGACTGAACCATGGAGAATGGATTAGATGGTACAGATATGGATGCAGAAAGACAAGAGAGGAATCTGTTTCATGGAGCAAGGCAAGAAGTGTTGGAGTCTTGAATCAGGTTGGTGGCAAGGTAAATGAAAAGAAGGAAGTGGGCTCAGGAAATATTTCAGAGTTAAAATGGCAGGGTTTGATGGTAATTTACTTAAAAGAATAGGGCTTCACCATTTAGTGCTATGGACAGAACTGGATGAAACATAGTTTTTAAGGAAAGATCTCATAGATATTCTCATAGAAATTAAGGAAAATTTTCAAATTTAAGTCTGAATATCAGAGGTTGGAGATGAAATTTGGAAGGTGGGAACATATACATGGTAATAAAAGCCTAGAGAATGCCGGACTTATTTAGACAGAAAATCTAAAGAGTCTAATGAATAATAATTTTTAAAGGTCATAGGATAATGTTAAAATTGGCAATGAACTCTGAAAAGGATGAGGTAAAAAGATAAAAAGGGAGAGTCTGGTTCTGTGGAATACCAACGAAGAATATGTTCCAGAAGAAAAGTGGCCTGTTGTATAAGAGACTGCCGAGTTCAAATAAGAATATTTCCTAGAAAGAAAACAATTTTCAGTTGTGTTGTTAAAAATTGTAGAATTATTCCAGTCTACTAAATTATAGGCAAAATTACTTTCTCACTGAGAAACTATATGTGTTGGATAGCAATTATTATTATTATTATTATTATTATTATTATTCTATTCCAACTTTTTTTGTTAATGTAATTTTAGAACATTCTTTCTAGAATGTTCTTCATAGAGACAAAGATTTGTCTTGTTTTTCTCTCCCAAGCAATTGTGCTAGCACATGCTATGTGTTAGATTTGTTGTAAAAGTGAATAAAATGAGGGATCAAGTGAAATTGGTACTTGGTATTGTGAGCAAGCTATTCTATTAACATACATTGGACACATTTGTATCTTTCTATAGTGTCAGAATTTATTGAATGACAATTCACAAACCACATCCACGCTTGCATAATTGTATCAAAATGGATTCTGCTATCATGTAAACATAAATAAATAAATAAATAAATAAATAAATAAATAAATAAAACCCACTGCATCACTTTCATCACCATCAATTCACTGAGTATTAATGTTACCCAGGACAATCTCAAGTTTTTTTTTATTCCATTTCAAACTTTATTACTAATATCTGTAACACTCAAGTCACATATTACACTTTGCACAGTGCTGTGTATGTTACAGAAAGTCTAAGACAGGGGTTATCAATGGCCTCAGGGTTCTGGAGACTGCACTGAGTGCAAAGGCAAGAGCAGATACAAAGGTAAAAGGGTCACTGCAGGTGCTCAGAAGAGATTAGCACCCCTGGGGAACTTGTTTCAGAGCACAGAACTATCCAGGGAATGAAACTTATTCTGGCCATGGTCTGGATGGCAGGCAGTTTTTAAGAGGTCCACATCATTCAGGAACTTCAAGCTGAGCTGAAACATCAGGGACAGAGTTAGGAGTCCATCACCTGTGGACCTCATCTTGCTTTCCCCACATGATCTGATAAGATGATGAGTATGTGTGGGTGAGTTCTGCCTACTGCTGTCTAAGGTGTTTCTCTTTTACGAGTTTCAGGTTGAGGGGGTTGCCTATGGTGAAATGGATAATCTCAGCACCGGATTTCTCTGATACAGGTTTAATATGACCATATGTACATGTGCTTCTGACTTAATTTGATAAGGTCACATGTGGTCATTTTTTATTAACATGATTAATTTATTTATTGGTTTGTGCCTTATGATTGTGCTGGGAAGTTAGGGTTTATGCTTCCCAATAGGTTCTATATATGGGGGTTATCTGTTTGCCCAGAGAAGTTACCAAGACATTCAACATTAGCACTTGCACTCAAAATGAGGTACTCATGGCAAACTGATGATTTATAAAATGGAATAGCTTAGAGCTAGGCATTCCTGTTCTATATAACATGGAGTTAACTCAGAGCAGGGTATAACCTGCTTTTCATACTAGAGTTCTTCAATTTAACTTTAAAATCATTAATAGCTTCACAAGGTGAAATACAATTGCCTAAAGAAACTAACACAGAAGGATTAAACAACTTTAAAACTTATTCTCATAATTTGAGAGGAAAACGTTTATATGAAATAATGGAAGGAATAAGACTTCGATTTGGAATAACTCTTTCTTTGCAAGTATGTGAACTCTTCTGTTTTGAGATCTACATTATGAATTCCAGTTTCAAGTATAATACAGGAAGGATTATTGCCAAATGGACTAATATATGCTATTGCTTGAGGAGACTCTTAGGATGAAAAATGCCATTATTATTATACATTGAGAATATAAAATTCTCAATTATATAATTTGTAATAATTCTAAATATACTTGATCAAGAGAATTCCTTGCATCTCGTTAAAGTAAATATAGGAATTTGTGAATGTTGCCAATGATTTATCATTTGTCTTGACTATATTTTTGATGAATACACAAATTAAAAAATTAGAAGCCCATCTCCTTTATTTAGTTGAAGAATATGTATTTAGAATTTGCATTGAACACCATTAATATCCAATGAAGTTTTTAAATTTTGCATTTACTTATCTTCTTCTGTTTCAGTATCTAACAAGGTGATATAAAGCAAACATTCTCACTTTTTGATTTCATATACAATGATTATGATTTAATTGATTAACATTTCATTTGTATTTCGGAATGTTGCTGGCACATTAGAATTTCAACCAGAAGAAAGATATAAATACATTTTTTGTCAACATCACTAATAATTCTATCCCTGAACTGGAAAAATCTTTTAAAGTTGAGTTGTTAAACCTGGAGGGAGGAGGTAAGACTGACAATTTAAAAAAACATCAAATATATGCTTTTCCACATACTGTGGTGACAGCAGATTCCATTAAAGAAGTTTCTTTGAATTAACTTTACTTTTTTTTTCTTTTAGTGAATGAATTACTTTCTCTATGAAATTTTAGTTAATACTTTTATAAATTAATATTCAACTCAATTTTCTGTAACCTTTGGTTAGTTCTCAGTAATATCTCAATTTATTATATATTATATGAATACCACATATTGTATTATTCAATTCATTTTTATTACACTTTGATCTTTCCCTAAAGTACATGTGCTTTTAGAACAAAATAGTACACTTATTCTAAATCACCAAATTATAATTGTCATACTAACTGCCCCTAAAACTACCCTTTTTTTTTCTTCCCTTTTGAATTTTCATAATAGCCCTATTAAAGCTATTTCCACATATAAAGCATATAAAAACAAAGGTCATTAATACCTTATTCTCAATCTGATAGTCAGAAAGTTCTAGTTTTTAAGAGATTTTTGGAGTTAAAACATATTACATATCATGTGCATCCAAGTGAGGTTATTTGTTATATTTAGCTGAGTTATTTACATGCTTCTTTACACAAGTATTAATGTGTGTGATTATCAGGGGCTGCTAGGGTTGTTATAGAATACATGTGGTATGCATTGTATTACCTTTGTAAGTATAAGAAATTGAGATTTGTAGGGTATTCATCAGCACAATCTCTTTCATTACAAAACCTGGTATTATTGTATCATTATTACCATCATCTGCATCATCTATATGAAGAGAGTCATGTTGTATAAGCTATCCAAAGGTAGAGATTGGGTAGCATAGATATATTAAAATTGTCTTTTTGTATAAATAAGGACTTAGGATAAGTATGCAAAACCTTTCCTATGTTCCCAAAGGCCAGGGAAAAGCAACAGAGTCTGAGCCAGTGTTTTTAAGTAAGGCAGTGATTAAATAAACAGTGCCTCAGCTTGGTGAATGCATGAAGTAGTAAAAATGTCCTGGATGACCTCTGGCAGGTGGCATATAAAAATGCCAGCTTTGCTTGCTCTCCAGAGACAAGCCTCACATCTTCAAATCATTAATAAAAAATAAACAAAAAATATTTGAGAAATTTCCCTTTGTATCATTTAGAATTAGAAATACTCATCTACTTAAAAGAAAGAATGTTAGTGGCTGTACCCAATACTAATTAATAATGAAACATCAAATATTCCCCTTCTTTGTGTGCTGAGTCTCAAACCTAGGACCTCGAATGTCAGGCAAGTGCTTTACCATGACTTTCAGCTCCAATCCCAAACATCAGATATTCTTGAGATGATATTTATGATCATATCGATATTTGTGTTTTTCCGTAGTAGAAACTTTCCTTCAGGTCTCTCAAATATATATTGTTACATAGTAATTGAGCAGGAGTTCTCATTTGAAAACGAATCTTGAAGTTTCTTAATAAATAATAGTGGCAGGGAATCTACTTTTTCTCAGTGAATTTGGATTGCAGGAAAAGGTATCCAAACAATGACTCCTAGACTCATTCACACTTAGGGACTGCTTACTAATCTAATTGTAAAATAGCTTGTGGAGCTAAATTCTTTCAAAGTTCAGGAAGCAGTTCTTATTCCATACTGTTTTTTTCTCTAAAATGATTCTACATAAGGTAGCCACAGTCAGACTAGATGTTTTATGCTAACCAAAATATATGTGGTGCTGAACTTTATACCTGTTTCTTATGACTCCTATATAATCATGTAGAAGTCACAGCAAGGCCTAGATAGCTGCTGGGAATCCATTTTGCTTCTTATGTCTGTAAGATGGTTGTAGGTCCTGGGTGCTATAAGTTTCCAACTCTATTGAGGAAAAACAGAGAACAAGGTTGACCTTAAACTTGCCTATCAACCAAGTATATTGGCAGGAGCACATATGTATAGCTGTGGTTTTGCTTTTATTATTCTGTTTTTTTTATTGCTATTATCACTGCCCTTTCCATCATCTTTGTAAACATTTGGCAAATATAATGGTTGGCATATAAAATGTATTGGATCAAAGGTGTATAACTGCTTAATCTTTATTATGATCCTTATATATTGCCAAGGTATTTTATATTTTATCATGTTTTATATTATTTGATTTTACAATATTTCTGTCAAAGACAGAACTTTTTGCAGGTGAGAAAACTGAGATGCCACGAAGTTTAGTGTATTGCTGATGGTTTTAAAATGGGGGTAGTTCACAACCAGGGCTGAAGTAGAATGTTTGTCTATTTATCTAAAGCTCTCTCCACAATGTCAGTGGCAAGAGGGTGAACAAGATTGAGACAGGGATTTGAATGTGTGGAAGCGAAATGTTTGATGCATTTCCCAAATTTTGAATTGGTGGTTCTGAGTGGCAAGATGACTGTCACAGGCATATAGGACAAGATATATGATTACAACACACACACAAACACACACACACACACACACACTTCCCCCCGCCCCAATACTAGTGATTGAATACATGGGTGCTCTACCTCGAGCTACATCCCAATCCCTTTTATTTCATTTGGAGACAGGGTCTTCCTAAATTACCAAGGATGGTCTCCAATGTATGTTCTTGCCTCAGCCTCCCAAGTAGCTGAGATTATGAGCCTGTGCTGCTGAGCCTGGTTAATATTCATATGAATAGTTTTTAAAATGTTAGAAAGCAATTTACATTGTTGTAAATAGGTGAAATTTTAAAAGTAGAATCATTTAAATGGTTGGAAATGGGAAATGCCAATCAAAATTTCCATGGAGCATTTCCTGAAACCATGAAAAAAGTTTTGATAATTTGGTAGTATGACAGATGTTACAGCATTATCTTTCAAAATGATCTGTATTCTGTGCAAGAATGACTATCATCAGATGATTGTTACTTCGTTTTCCTCTTTGCTTGATATTTTTAAGAGCTCTTATTTTTCTCATTGTGTCAATGTGTGTTGTGTGGGTTGTGTCTCTGTGTCTCTCCTGTGAAGTGACTGAACTCTTTAGGGTTGATGGCAGTGGTAGTGGTGATGGGGACATGGAATTCTTCATTCCAACTATTCACAAACGTGGTAAGCAGCTGTTCCAAGGTTCTTTACTAGTATATATTTTTATTTTCACTTCTTTTTCTCTTGCTGGAAACAAAAATACTAATCACTCCTCCGTGCTTTGGTAATGGACACTGAACCCCTGGCCTTGTTAATGTTAGGCAAATACTCTACTACTGAGCTACAACCCTGGTTCTTTTTAACTTTGATTTTGATATAGGGTTTCACTAGATTGCCCAGGCTGGCCTTGAACTTGCAATCCTCCTGCCTTAGTCTCCCACGTTGCTGGTATTACAGGCATCCACCACTGTGCTTGGTAGTACTGAAATCTTTATTGGCACCAACTAAGTGTAGGTCCTTCACATATTTTATCTCACTGACTGTCAAAGCATCTTTATGACATGTTATTGGCTCTAGGTTTTAGTTATCCAGCTGGAAAGTGATGTAGTCAGAATCATATCCATGTCTGATTCTGATGCCCAGGCTTTCCTTCCTGTATGAACTTACTACAATTTCCTGATTCTGATTGGAGAGTTTTGTTTGAATGTTATTTATAAAAATGATGGTTAAAAAATTTAAGGTAGTTTTTGCCAGGCACACTGGCACATGCCTGTAATTCCAGTGGCTTGTTGAGTTCAAAGTCAGCCTCAGCAACAGTGAGGCCCTAAGCAACTCAGTGAGACCCTGTCTCTAAATGAAATACAAAAAAAGGACTGGGGATATGGTTCAGTGGTAGAGTATCCCTGAGTTCAATCCCCAGTACAAAAAAAAAAAAAAAAAAAAAAGATAGTTTTGAATACCTAAAAAGAGGTAAATAGAACACTTTCATGTTAAATGTATCACATTTACTTTCTTTAAAAAAGAACCATGAGTCTTTATATGTAACATTTGATCAAAACAAATGGGAAAAAGAAGTTAGGAAGGAAATAGATAAGGAGAATAAATTATCAATTAATGGGGGATAATTGAAAAGAAGATGTCTTTTCAAGTAGATTCATATACAAACATGATTCAGCTTTTTACCTCAAATATTTTTACATATGTGGATAGATGTTTAGAATAATTTTGTTTAGAATGTTTAGAAAGAGCACTTTCTAACCCTCAAATGTTCATTTTTCCAATGTCAGAACTCATATTCCTTTTCCTCATTTATAACTTCCATCAATGTGTCACATAACCTGTACATATAGCTACTGTATTATTTTTAGAATTGTTCATTTTCTTGTCTGCAAACATTAATAAAACATAAAGAGTGAAAATGGGTATTAGGAAAACTTTAAATTCTTCCTCAGATCTTAGCATGTTCTATTTGGGATCAGAGAGACAAATCAATATTATAATATGATGCAAAAAATAGAATCAGAGTTAATGCATATTTGAAACCAAGAATCTGTTTAGTCCAGTTGACTAAAATCATAGTGAAACTACTGTTTCATAAAGGTTAGAGTAATTCTGGCTCATGTTCTTTTGAGGTCAGCAAAGGTCGTGAGAGACCTTCCTCATATACACTGTGTGAAAGAATGTTCTCTTTCACAGAGACGAAAAAGTAAAACAAGTTTTCCTTATTTATCTCCAAGAGCTTATGCAGCACTTGTAGATCACATTGGTGCCAAAGTAGAGAAAGGTCATAAAACATGAATATGTGTGGCAACCATTTGTGTCTGCCTTTCTTTCTAAAACAAATTATGTGTTCAGTCAAAGCAACAGCTCTTTCATGAAGTTATTTCTTGGCTTTTCCTGTTGTTTGTCAATTACTGATTAACATTCTTTTATTTTTGCTGTTCATTGGAACTTGTTCATGCAGCCAGTCTAGGAGTGGCTTCCCAGATTCTAGTGACAATAGCAGCCTCTGACCATGCTCATGGTGTGTTTGAATTTAGCCCGGAGTCACTCTTTGTCAATGGAACGGAACCAGAAGATGGACATAGCACTGTTATGTTAAATGTGAGTACTCCATTCCTACATACATTCTTTTCTTATAAAAATTGTTTTATTCTCTTATGAAGGTGTGTTTTATGCTTTCTTTTTTGTGTATAGGTAAAAATGAATGAAGCTATAATGTGGACATTATGAATTGTTAATTGAGTAGTCATTTGGCATTTGTGTTTATGTTTAATTTTTCATAAGACTATTTTTCTGAGATTACCTCACACTTCAAAGAATATAATGGAGTGTACTCTAAGTATTTAACTTGCACAGATTTTAGTATTAGTTCAAGCAGGCTGTGATAACAAACATGTCCAAAATCTTTAGTACAACCAAAATTTATTTTTCACTCATGGTATATGTCCAACTTAAATTGAAAAGGGTCTCTGATCATAAGTCACTTTGGGGACCATGGATTACAGTTGGCTATATCCCAGCCTTCATAAAAGAGACAAGAAATTTGGGTGTTGAGAACTGCATACTGACCTAATAGCTTCTTTGTGAATCGGATTAAATCATTTCTACTTAGATTTCTATGGTTAAAGAAGGTGCATGGCCATACCTAATTTCATTGGGTGAAGTGCCTTCTATTTTGTCTCTTACTCAGAAGGAAGGAAAATCCAAAACATTTGTGAATACCAATAATAATAATAACAATTCTATTTGATATGTGTGTATGTCCACTCTGCTTTGTTGCAAAGAAATTAAGAAGTGTTCTGTTGCTTAATGACTCAGCTTCCTCAGCCTTTGTACAAATAATTAAGCACACTAACTCAAACATGTTTTCTTTTTGAGTTATTGTATTTCTTTATTATTGTGGCATGTCTTCATTAAATTTTTGTGGAATTAATTTAGCAAGTTCAGAAATAGAAAATACCTAGGAAAGAAAAAAAATTAAGGGAGTGGATCACATTTTTATAAAACTGCTGTCCAGAATTTAACATTATTTTATTTACATAAACATTATTTGGGGAAATAAGGAATAATTTTTAAGTTTTTGATTTTTAATATATTGATAAAAGCATTTCTTGCCTCTTAAATGTATTGTATTATACTGAGTCAAGCATGTTTTTGTATTTGCTATATCAAAGATGAAAAAAATATGACTTCTCTT